TGGTAAGTTAACAGTATAATACGCTTGCTATTTTAAAAGAGTACCGAGAGTTTTTTACGCCGGCTTTTTCTCTCGGCCTACACCCTCTGTCTTCTTTGCCGATGAGTAGGGATGCCTACAAATTCAAATTTAAGGACGTGGAATAAGTGATACATGTATCTTATGTTTATTTATATATATAAATATATTTTATTTTATTTTTTACGTATTAATAGGTTTAGTACTTGATGGCGAAGATAAAATTGTTAGTCATGACACCCACTAAACCCCACTAAATGTCAATATCGATGGAGTGACGATATTTTGCCGATATAATATTATTTATGCAAGCGATACAAGTACTCGAGTGTATATTGGATTTTAAAATGAAAATATGTTCGTGTCCACAACTTTTTTTACCTTATGCCATCAAATATATGACATCCCTCCATGGGGTAAACATATCAATAAAAATCAAATAAACGTTAAAAATCGTGATTTTTTGGTTTTCTGGCCCTGAAAGTTGGTTCCACGGAAAGCTGTGAAGGAGAAAAAGATAATTATTTATTTAAAAGCGTAATATTACAATTGTAAAACTGTCCTTTATAAAAAAATGGTTTCAGAACCATGATTTTCATTTGTCTCTTCCTTTTATTGGTGCAGTAAGACTTTTTCAGTAACTCGCTGTTAAATTTCTAATATATTTGAAATCCATAAATGCTTGTCATCCATAAATAGTTGAAAAAGAAATTAACTCCGAAGCTCCGATGGTAATTGAACGTTTTTCAGCTTCGTAATAGAATTTTATTAACGTTGGAAGTCAACTACTCTATTATCACACCAATCGAGTTGTCTTAAGGTTCATTTCCCAAACAATGGACACGTCAGGGATTATCAGGATGTGTTAATCATTGAAATTCCTTCTATTACTTTTAAGAATCTTTATTTATTTATTATGATTCATAGTTTAGAATGATTACTTAACGAATAAAAGTACGAATTTGGGTTGGGGTTGATATCCATGCGTTGGAATTTGATGATACTGATTATGCAGGAGTCTCGGGGACCCTTGATTGGAACACCTCCAAGTGATTTTAGCTTTAGGATAAGCGTCAAAGTATTTTAAAAAATTTTTTTTAACTTTTGTCAATTGTATTGAAATTATAAACAATCCGCCATTATCTAACTACTTTTCTATTGGTTATAAGAGATGTGACATTCTCGATTTCTATTGGTTATGAGTGATGTGTCATTGTCGTTTTCTATTGGTTATAAGTGATGTGACATTTTCGGTAAATTAATTGGATCGATTATTTTCTCATTTGTTATTTTTAAAGTTGAACCTAATCGAATCGATTATTTCCTCATTTGTTAATTTTATAGTTGAACCTAATTTAAGCATTACTTGTCAAATGTACATACATTACATTAACTTCATGTTTTAATTAATGTATGGTTCCGAAAATTATTAAATTATTCAAATAGTACCCAAAACCGAATCAGAGCACCCCACTATCCACGTGGTCTTGTCTGCCTTACCCCTAGAGTGTATATAAATAATCGGAGGCGCGGAGGAAGAGGGCTGCATTTCCCGTAGCGCCGGAGCTGTCCACAAAAACAAATATTATTTAGATTGGTTAGGTTAGAGTAAGTATATGAATATTTGGTCGCCGAAGGCGACCAGGACGCCGAGAAGCCGAGGCTTGAATAAACAATTACTATTTAGATCGGAGCTGTCCACAAAAACAAATATTATTTAGATTGGTTAGGTTAGAGTTAGTATATGAATATTTGGTCGCCGAAGGCGACCAGGACGCCGAGAAGCCGAGGCTTGAATAAACAATTACTATTTAGATCGGAGCTGTCCACAAAAACAAATATTATTTAGATTGGTAAGGTTAGAGTTAGTATATGAATATTTGGTCGCCGAAGGCGACCAGGACGCCGAGAAGCCGAGGCTTGAATAAACAATTACTATTTAGATCGGAGCTGTCCACATAAACAAATATTATTTAGATAGGTTAGGTTATATAAATATTAATATACTAACCGTATATTAATATTGTTTTTAAATAACTGTTCAACTGAAACTCGAAATCGAAAACAAAATCGGATTTAAAATCGGATTCAAAATCGAATACTAAAATAATCGATTTTTTCACTTTCACAGAATAGATTATTTTTCACATCTCTATTCTCTACTATTCATTGTTTAAAGTATAAACGCAATCGGCCATTTCGAATTTGGATTTTGCCAGAACAGTGTGTGTTCACAGTATTCAAGTGCAAAATATCAGTTAAAAGCCGTTACTTTTTAGATTTTTTTATTTTTGCTTGAATGTGCGTTATTTTATTAGCATTTTTTTAAAACTTGGCTTTATATACATACTAGACACTGATTTCTTGCGATCATTTTCAGATTTCGTGTAATGGCGTCTCAAAATAGTGGACATGGGTGTGGTACTGAACCTGAACCTGAACCAAAATAACCTGTGTGAACAGTGATAATGTGCGAAATATCCGTTAAAAAGCCGTTACTTTAGCCGTCGAAGTTGGCACGACCATCCACACTGACTTCTGGCGAGCATACGATTGCTTGTCTGAGCATGGATACCTTCATAAGAAGGTCAACCACTCGAATCCAGACAACCCCTTTGTGGCTGAAGATGGAACACATACTCAAAGAATTGAGTCTCAATGGAGAGCAGTTAAGAGATTTTTTAAAAAAGATAATTATAATTTTTATAGTACAGAAAATTTCACTGATCATTTATACGAATACCTATGGCGGCGAAACAATAAGAAATATAAAAAAGATCCCTTTGAGGAGCTACTTATAGCAATTAAATATATTTATAAATTAAAATAATACTTTACTATACTCTTATTTTGCTATATTGCTTATTATGCTATACTGCTTATTTTGCTTACATATGTTAATTTCTTTTTTCATTTACTGCTGCTGAAGAGCTGCTGAAGTGGATAGAAGCCTACTGGCTTCTACCACGACCCGGCTCTACATGCACTATGGATTGGGCCCTGGTGGTTTTAGTGGGTATGGGGTCATCGCATTTTACGACCTTGACCCCCACACTCCCCGCGCCATTCACACACTTGCCCAGGCGTGGGGGCCCGTAAGTGGGTTTCCCCAGGTAAAAAAAAAAATAAAAAAAAAAATTTTTTTTTTTGGTTTCCTAAGCCCAAAATTTGTGGGGGGTGATTACTACACCCCCTCCCCCCTCCCCCCTCCCCCCGCACCCCAAATTTAGGTACTTCTCTCTGACATCTTTACCACGAATTTTGTTGTGGTCGCAACAAGACATCAGATAGATAACAGAAGAGCAGAGCAAATGCCTCTAGTGGGGTCGAGACGCCATCATGACATTGGACAGTGCGTTCAAGGAACGCATGGCACTACTGATATAGTATTCACTGGAGCACTGTAGTGTTCAAAGGTTGGCCGTTGGAACGAGTTGGGTCTAGTAGTGATTAAAAGTGAGATCGGTGCCCTGAACCCGATGCTTGTTATAATTTAAGCTAAATTGTTATTTGTGGTAGAGCGAATTAATCTAAATAAAAAATTGTACGATAATTATTTGTCTTTTGTGCTAGCACTTTGCCCACATGACACCCACTAAACGCCACTAAATGTCAATATCGATGGAGTGACGATATTTTGCCGACATAATATTATGCATCGATACAAGTACTCATGTATATAATGGATTTTCAAATGAAAATATAATAAATTCGTGTCCACAACTTTTTTTGCCTTATTCCATCAAATATATGACATCCCTCTATGGGGTAAACATGTCAATCTGTTTCATTTTTCTTTACGCACGTAGGCCCTATGTCTGACACACACCTTTTATTTTAAGGCAAGCTGGTTACCCCACAACTGTATCCTGGAACATGATCATTCATTCCGTAAATATAAAAACTCAAAAGCCGGAGGTTGAACTCACGGCTTAGGGTTGAGATTGCAGCACGGCATGATTAACCACTAAGCTAATATATACAGTCATCATCTTATCTATATGCAAATAGATATTACATAAAAAAACTTAGCCATTTTTTATTTCAAAAAATTTCAATATATTCCTAGTTTAACGCCATCTGTTGTATCCAGTTAGCATTGTAATAATATAATAATTAAGGTTGTACTACAAATTTAGGCTGACTGACAAATACTGACACACATATTTTTGATATTGCATTTTTTTATTTCAAAAAATTTCAATATATTCCTAGTTTAACGCCATCTGTTGTATCCAGTTAGCATTGTAATAATAGAATAATTAAGGTTGTACAACAAATTTAGGCTGACTGACAAATACTGACACACATATTTTTGATATTGCATTTTTTATTTCAAAAAATTTCAATATATTCCTAGTTTAACGCCATCTGTTGTATCCAGTTAGCATTGTAATAATATAATAATTAAGGTTGTACTACAAATTTAGGCTGACTGACAAATACTGACACACATATTTTTGATATTGCATTTTTTATTTCAAAAAATTTCAATATATTCCTAGTTTAACGCCATCTGTTGTATCCAGTTAGCATTGTAATAATAGAATAATTAAGGTTGTACAACAAATTTAGGCTGACTGACAAATACTGACACACATATTTTTGATATTGCATTATAATGTAATTATCAGAGGTGGAATGTAACCAGCGACAAACTTCTTATTGACATACTTTATTGAGTAACTGTATTTACACAAACTATTGTAATATTTATGATAGTATTTGATTTAATAATAAAAAGTAATGCTCATTTATGCATCAGCTTGACACCTAGTGTTTCTTTGTAATACTTTTGATCCATTACATATTCGGTTGGTCTAACTCCTTTACGGTCGACATCAAAGTTCCCTGATGAAAGAGCGTTTGGTTGAACTAAATAGATACTCGCTAAGTCCAAAGTTTGTTATTGTATGTTTTAAACGTTGAAATAAGTTTCATACAAATTACAAAGCTAAAACTTTAATAAAGCAACAACGTTCTTAAAGACGCAACCAATACTGTCCAGCCTGCAATCTGTTATAGTCGGGAAGTTCTTCAGTAGGTCCGACTGCAGCAGTGACGAGTGGTTTATCATAAATGCTTGCTTCAGCAACCGCCTTGATTGTTTTTGGGTCTATGCGCGAAAGATCTTGATACATATTCGTCAATGGAGTTCTTTCGTTCTTCAACATAATCTGTATGCCTATATCAAAAGCGGAGTTTACAACACCTTCTATACGTCGCGCTAATTCCAACTTAGTTATATTGACGGCTCGCTCTACGTCATTTTTAGTAATCGTAAAACACAAATGCATCCACATATTCTGGATAATGTAAATGACATTCTCAATATTCATGTTGGGCACGACAAAGTATACACCCCAGAGACCAACATCACTATGAGCTATATAAAATGATTCTAGAAGTTCACATAAATTACATGTTGCAACTGCTCGGACTGCATCGGAGGCGTGCCTGTGACTTCCTCCTTGACTTTTGTGCCAAGACCCGATGTAGTTTTTCGCAACTAAAAGCGGTAAATAGTCCAAACTTTTATAGCCTGGTGCTTCAAAAGCGAGAGAAATATGTGCAAATGGCATTGAATCGTCGCGGAAACGCACTTGAGAGCTCGTGAAACGGCAAGGGCTGAACTCCGCCTTTCCCTCATATTCGGTACTACCAATGTGTCGACTTGCAGCATCTACTATTGTATCTGAAGAGACATCACCGGCTGCTGTGAAAAGCAACCGAGTTGGTTTATAGTGATTTTTCATGAAGTATAAGGCGCAATCCCGATTAAATTTATTCACGTTTCTTGAGGGTCCGACGACTCGATTCGCTAAGGGCGTTCCCTGAAAAGCTGTTTCATGTAAATAATCAAACATAATTTCTCTAGGATTCATGTCGAGATTTTGCATTTCATGCTGTATAACATCCCTTTCACAATCCATCTCTTGGTCTGATAATTCTAATTCGGTAACTATTTTCGTTAGTAAACTCACGATATCACCAGCGGATTTGCTCGGGCAGACTGCACTGAAAACTTGAAATTCTCGCGTTGTCATGGATGTTATTTTGGCCTCTAAATCATTTAACTGACACGCTACTGCTTGGCTATTCATGGAAGTGAATCCCTTGAATGCCATGTGTTCAATAAAATGAGAAATACCATTTGTATCATAATTTTCGAACCTGGATCCGACTTTGGCAAAAAGATTGACGCAAGCCAAAGGGCTTTCAATTCTCTCAGTGACTACTCGTAGTCCATTGGTCAGTTCTAAAGTCTTAACATTTTCTGGTCCTTTACATATTTTCCTTGTATGGTGACGTAAAAAAGTAGAACGCTGATGTATTTTTCGAAACATTTTCGTCATTAAACTGTATTTGCATTATTTTTATAACTGTCAAGCTTTATGTCAGATTCAAAATGAGTACAATACAGGTGCTATAACTACATAAGACAACACACAATTATATATACTTAAATAACAATAAATAATTTTAATAACTTTCGTTAATTTTATAGGACATTAAGTACACTTCACACTCGGTATAATCTATATACAGAGTTAATTAAAACACTTTGCCAAGACATATTATTTCTAAAACACCTTTTTTGAAAAGACCTGACTAAAAAGTAATCAGAGTTATGTCATGACAACATTACATGACAGCTTGTTTGTGAATCTGAATCATTGTTAATTTAAAATTAACTTATTTGCGTGATTATTGCAGAGAAACCTAAACAAGTAAACAGGTAAAGTTCTAACGACCTGAAAGCTAGAATAAGATGTTGAGATTACTTTTTATAAGTGGCGTTCGAAAACATATACTAAATACGCCACGCAGCTATTGCAGATGTGTCATGCCTGCATTGACACATGTTTATGAATCGGGGCCTATTAATAGTAGCTTATATCCATCTGGATTCATTCTCGTACATGAAGAAAGACAATGCCCCAATGCTTGCGTCTCTCTTACATTTGACGCTGGATCGAGATATGAATTAGCAAAGGAAAATGGCGTCACACACTTTTTCGAGCATTTGTGTTTTAAAGGAACCAAGAAGAGATCAAAAAGCAAAATTGAAAATGAGATGAATGAAATTGGCGGAAAGTTTAAATGTTACACAACACGTGAAATGATTGGTTTTAGCGCCGAGTGCTTGTACGAAAATATTCCTCAAGCTTTAGATCTGTTGACAGACTGCATATTTAACAATTCCTTGTCCAACACTGAAATAGAAATTCAAAAATGTATTATCTACCAAGAAATGCTACAACACGACACTGATTCTCTATCTATTCTGTTTGATTATATACATACCGCCGCGTTTCAGGGTACGCCGCTAAGTCAATCAGTGATGGGCCCAAGTCATAATCTTTACAATTTCAATTCTAGCTCCATAGCAATGTATATAGAAAAAATGTTTGTGCCCCCACGAATGATTTTTTCATGTGTGGGTCCTATGAAGCAAGAACAGGCATGTAACCTCGCAAATACATACTTAAACAGAAATGTGCCTGATCCTACCATTTCAAGGCAATACAGATTTACAGCAGGTGATATTCGTTACAGGGACGATTCCATGCACGTAGCGCATATTGCACTAACTTTAGAAGCTCCACCGTTCCGACACGCCGATTATTGGCCCATGTTATTGGCAGCGATGGCGATCGGAGCTTGGGATAGGTCACAGCCCAGCGGCCTTAACCACTCATGCACACTAGCCCAAGCTGGTGGAGCGGGCATATTTAATTCATATGAGGCATTTTACTTAGCATATAGAGATGCCGGTTTGTGGGGAGTACATTTCGTTTCACCGCGAATGGAAGTAGACAGCGCTGTCTCATTAATGCAAGGTGAGTTGATGAAATTATGCACAATAATTACCGACTCGGAATTAATTAAAACAAAACTACAAATGAAGTGGAAAATTCTGAAAGAAAATGAAACTATTGAGAGTGCTTGTCTTAATCACGCGAAATGGGTATTCTATACTAATTTCGCGCCAACGATAAAAGAGAAATTCGCTGCAATAGACAAGTTGGTCGCAGACGATGTAAGACGTGTGTGCTACGAGTATGTCTATAGCAAATGTCCCGTTGTCACTGCCATAGGCGCAACGGAAGCCTTACTGCCAAATAGCAGATTGACAGGTGGTATGTACTGGTTGAGATTTTGAAAGTATTAAACAATCTCAGATTTTATACACGTATCTCATTAAGTTAACATGAGACAATGTTATGTAGACGCGCAAAACAGACGTTTTATAATATAAGACAGATACTACTAATAAGTACTATCTCTTATAATAGCCCAATATTCTTAACTCTTTACAGTAAAACATAACCAGTTTTGGTTTGCCATATAATTTGCTATTAAATTTGTTCAGGCGTTTTACGAAAAGGCATATGCCTCTTTTTCTTGTTTAATGTATTGAATGGGGTTACAAATATATATGTAGTAACGCAATGATATATTCTATTTATAGTATGAACTAAAGTACATGGGTAAATAAAACAACATTTATAAATTTATAATTTATTGTTTTAAGTAAAGCTAATGTAAATATTAAACACCGATTTCTGAGTATAATCAAGAGTATATTAGACACATATTACACGAAAATATCGTTATAGACACACATTAAATATTAAATGTAATTATAGCTACCCTGGAGTGGAGAATTCTTTTTTAAATATAAATCACAAAATAGAGAGCACAATTAAAAAATTCGTTGATGCAAAATGTTAAAACATAATTCAACCTTTCTTCTTCAATTAGGATTTAAAAATTCAAAATGTTTATCGGCTTACTGTGTGTAAATTTTACAGTATTACATGACAAGTAATGTTATACCAGCCTGTAAACGTTTGGGGAAAATAACATTGCCAATGTTGCGTAATTAATAATTGTTGTTCGTTCAATTACACCCTATGTTATGCATTTCGTTTTGACAAGTAATATTACCACCTTTTATATACTGGTTGGATTTACATAACACCTTAGATTAGACATACAATTTATTATTAGAGAAATTACAATACATTTCCTTAAACAATGTAATTTCACTACAGAAATATGTTTCATCAATTGTAGTTGAAAGTAATCGTTATGTCATAAGTTATTTAAATTGGTATAATTGAAATGAGCGTTCGATCTTGTTTTGGTGGATAATAACGTATTACTCTCCTTCAAATTATAATTCAATTCCATTCCACTGAAGCACTAGCACAGGCCAAAAACACTTATCTAGTACATTACACATCACAATCTTAACACCTTGGGTGTATTTTCTAGCCGATAACAACCATCTATATCGAGATAGGTAACTCGGATGACTCTACTGCGCCGCACATCGCGTCATTAAACGCCACTTTCCTTGACTAAATTTGACATATTTTATATATTTGACATACATACAGTTGCGACTGATATTCGTTAGCATCTTTGAAATTGAATGAAACATTGTCAAACAAAAGACATTCAAATAAGAAATTTTTGAAGTGAGAGGGCGCCATTGTGCCGCTCCTTGTTACCCATCTACATCTCTACCTTAATTACTGTGGACCCACGAATTTACCCTACTCGTACGTTTAATATGAGTTTAAAAGCATTTTTGTATAGTCCAGAAATTTTATTTGTAAGACAAACATTTGAATGGAATTTCAAATTTCTTTGTGATGATTCTGTCTGACACACTTTTTTTTAAAAGTTCGTATGTCAAAGGAAAATGCTCATAAACTCATATTACTTGTATCAGATACCGCTCCTAACATTGACACAACAGCAGCCTTTAATTTAAAGAGATTCGATCTCCTCGGACGTAATCACTATAAAGCTCATTTTCGCACAACTTCGGAGAATACTGGCCAATGACATGTGCGTTCTACACGTTAATTCACTCAAATACCGATTTTATCAACATCAAAGGTCTAATCTTATGCACTCAGCAGTTGCCATTTAATCTATTTAGCTGTTTCAAAATCTTGTATAATTAAAAAAAAAAAATCTATCCTCAATGCGATATAAATTGGGCCTGAATAATTGTATGATTGATGAAATTAATGTTACAGCATGTCCTAAACGATACATAAAGACTATAAAAATATAAAACTTAAGAAATATAATTATGGCGACAGGTAAATTGATAGATATAATAGTCTTGACGAAAATATGTTTCGCGAGTCCATTCCAAACTATACATTGTATTGTAAAAAGCGTTGAATCCAAACACACATCATAATCATGATATGTTAATTTCATGGCCATTCTGGAATAATAAGCTCAAAAATTAAAATACTATAGATTTAAATAAAACACTTTGTGCAACACCCATTTTTCCCAGCTTCTCGTGACACGATTTGACATTGAATTATTTTCGTAATATGGACTCTCTTCGCAAACAAATTTTCGTCAAAATCGAACGAGTTACTTCGTAACCAAGACAGCAAGACACACTACAAAGTACTTACACACTATACATTAAAATTATGTGTCATGGTTAAAGACCAGTTAAATTACGAGTAATATTTGAGCACTATATTATATTCCGTTTAATATTAATATTAATTCTACCAAGTAATGTCAAAAGTGTGACCCATTTCTAAGTTAAACAATCGTAGAACTTCAATAATAGAATTTGTTTTGTTATTACTTAAGTAATCTTTGTAATAACAACCTAGCCTTAAAAAAATCCAAATGGTCTATGAAAAGTAAAATTTAGGGTTTTGAGTGGGAAAAAAGAAAAGAATTAAATAAACTCACTACTAAGTGATATCTTGCATGTAACCCTTTTGTCAAAAAACATTAAAAAAATATTATGTTGATTTTGGCAGCATAATATAAATAACATAGAAAATAATAATAGTATCAAAAAGCAAAATAATTGCAATATTGGTTATCATTCACGATTGCTTAAAATGCGTCTCACTTCTTAAGAAAGATTAAGTGACTTATTAACGGTTCGTTTTCTTCCAATATAATGAAGAGAAACGATCCGTTATACAGTAAACATTTATATTTGGTTAAATATGCTGACTCCAGCTTTTCATTTCACCTCTAATATTTTGTGATGATTTTTTAATTAATAAAACAAAAGTATATAATTGGCTTTAGTTGGCACACTATTTTGTACTTTGTTGAGGCCAGAGACAGCAAAATAAAATCTGTTGTGAATTTAATTCAGTTGATTGAGTATTCTCGAAATATGCTGCAACCAGTTTGTTTAAAGAATTTCTTTAAAACTACCAACATTTTCCTCAGTTAATAAATTGAGACAATACTGAATTTAAAATTCTTAATATTTAGATTATATATTAAAGAAAATATATGGTTATTGCAATATATCTATGAAACACACTTTAATTTAAATTTATCTGCAGATTAGATAAAATTACAAGAATGCATTTTTTTATATTATCATGACACTACATATGTATGAGAAATCGCTTTTAATTAAAATATTGTTTTAAGTACTTAAAATGTGCTTCATAAATTTATTTCACAATCATGTATGTATTGTATTGGTCAAGGTAATTTTAGCCAACGTCAACTTAACACGAAACATCTTTATGTATTCTTAACTTGCCAAATTACCGAATTTTGACAGCACATTCTTTCGACAAAAAAGTCCAGTGTAGTTCGATCTTTGTATATTATGCAGTCTATATTACAAAATAAAAAGCATTGGTATATAAAAAATTTGGTAAAAAAACAATGTATAAATGCTAAATCAACACAGCTAACAAATCATGGAATGTTGGTTTCTTAATCTCAATCAATTACAATACGACGGCTTACTCTAAGAGTACTTAATATAAATATTATAAATGTTAATCTTACACTAAGTCAGGTTGATTACATATCTTAAACCTAATGGAATGTATATAATTTTTTTCCTTGATCAATATGTTAGTTAATATACCCCTTAAAATTAATGGTTAGCAATACCCAAACCTTTAAAATATATAAAATTTTGAAAAATAAAATTTGTGTCAAGTACAAATTTAAAACTAACCTTTAATATTAATCGTCCGTTGTAATAAATTGTTTCGCCTTCCGTTTTTTAAACAGTCACAACGTCGTTGAGCTCCGGTGCCGTTCGAGGGCAAAATTCGTAAAATTAAAATTATTTGAGGTGAGAAAGGGACGGCATGACAAAAATCCACATCGTATAGCTACCGCTTTCAACTGGCGACCTCTATTCGATCTTAGTCTAAATTTCACATTTTCGACTTGATTACGATGGGATGAGTCTTTTAGAAATTAAAGCTAAATACGGTAAAGTAGACAGAAATCTATTGACGACTTTACCTGTGTCACAACTCAACTAAAATGGCAATTTTCGAATGTCATATGGAATGTAAAAATTTCAGCAATCCACTGTTTTATAACATGCATGGGTGTTTAAAACCGATAAATTTATATAAAATCGATATTTTTATTCGACGAGTTTCATATTCATAGAACACAACCATCATTTTAGCTCGAATGTTTTATATACCTCTTAATACAAGTTTTAAACAAGAAAGCAACAAAACAGCAACCAAAACGACGCCGTAAATCTCAAATAATATTGTGCATCACCCATGCTTCATGTAAAATTACTCTTAGAATTAAACTTAGATGTTAAACAGCAAAATATACAAGATAAAAGATGAGGTACAAAAGATTGTTATATTAAAGTGAAATTTCGAATCTTGTACTAAAATAATTTCAGTAAAACTCCGTTCCGAGATTATTGTGAACTTAAATCTATAGAACTTAAACTAAGTAAAGCATTAAAAATGAATATTTTACACATTTTGTACTGTGAGGTTATGTTCATTGTGGTCTTACCTATTATTTTGAAATTCCAATAATAAAAATTTTGTACACTGTATTAATGGCAATTATTATTAACCTAATTCGGATTGGAGCTGCCCTGTTCCCATTGTACTTAGAATTGTACAGCCGCTTAGCATTACAATAGAACCAATTGATTCTTATATAGTTAAATGAAAAATATTAATTATAATTTGTCGTACAGGAGTTAACTTATGACAATAATTGGTACTTCAAAACGTGTTAAAACTAAGTAAGTCACTAACAAATATATCCTGCGTTAAAATAAAACCGATGTAAATTATAAAATCTATAAAATTATTTTTGTTCAATCAGTCTTTGGAATGTATATGGTGGAATGTATATTGGAAATAATATATACATACTCAACAGTACCTTTGGTAAGGTCTGACTTTACGAAGGTGCCGTTACTTCTGATCTAAACGCCACAAGTCTAATATAATTTTAAATGATTTGTGGCCGTCGAAAAATTTTAAGTAACCAAAATTTGCAAACAAATAGAAACAAGTTTAAAATAAAAGCATCTAGTCCGGTTTGAAACAGAAGACCATATTCTTCCACCAGCATTGTTGAGTAAATCGGCGTGCCAGTTCGATCGGGTCAATTAGGTCATCATCCGGTCTCACCCTTAATCATGCTGTCTCTAGTTTTGGTTCTGGCTTCATTAGCGGCTCAACTTGTTGCACGCCCTCTGCAGCCTGCGGAAACTGGTTGGCCTCGGGCGCCGTAGCAGTTGCCGTAAATCTGAAACGTTTAATTACTAATAAGGTAAACGTTTAACTTCAATAATATTTAAAGTTACAGTTCTTGTATTCATAGCGCATGACAAATATGTAGTTGTGATGTCGCCAAAAGATCAATGGTGATATATCCACGACAAATTCAAATACAAAAATGGATGTTAAATAGTAATTCTAAGTAGACTTGACAAAATACCAGATTACGGGGATACGGGCTGGTATAAATTTTACAGGTTTGAAATTTAAGTAACACTTTTCATAGACTACTGACTCCGACGCAAAGCTACAATTAACTATTATAATTTTTACCCATATAAACACAGCACTAAAAAAACATCAAATATCGCTAAAGCAAAGAAACTATACAACAACACCCATAATATGAAAAAATACATACGCATACAGCATTTTCACGTCGGTAATGTCAATCAGCATTGTAATTAGATGCGAATGACGAAAACTAATTAAAACACAAACGTTACAAGCACAGCAAGCCTTATACTGAGGACCGCGTTTATCTGCGCGGATCAATATTGCATCCCAAACCACTTGTCTAGACTGTAACGTTTGTCCAAAGTGATTTATACCTTATCTAAATATATTACGGCTCAAAATTGTTTGCGTGAATGATACAAACATTTTTTGGGGGTCTAGTTGACGCAACAGCGATGCGCAGATCGATCGGTGATATTAATAGCTGAACCCCAGACAGATACTATTGTTATACATCTGTATATTTCAGACGCCAAGCGTTTATACATACATACAATACTGTTGCACGCTTGTCAATTACTGTGTAATGTTATTAGATTATTAGTTGCTTGGATAATTTCAAGACTTAACACTAAAGTTCCGGAACCTCATAAAAACAAAAGCAAAAATACTTAAATAATAAACTTGTTTAAAAAAAATAGTTGAGACCCAGACGAAGAATCTGTTCGGTGCCTCAGCGGCTTTTATAGAACTCTTCTTGAAAGATATGCTATAGTATTGATAAAACCAACATATTTTATTCGCATATTTAGTTATTAGTTAAAAACGCAGAGCACGCACAGCATTAGATTAACAATTTAGAAAAGTAAAGGCTAAAGTGTCCAACTTTTATTTGTATCTGCGCCCAAACCGAGACATATAATGCCTCGAATCCAATATTAATAGGGGTTAATTTTTTTAATTAAAAAAAAATTGTTTTATTAGACGCATAGCACCACCCGAGTTTTATTTTCGCTATTAGCTTAAAAGTGGATATTTTTCGCACATGCAAAGAATTACCAATGTGTTTTTAGTTTTGTTCAAAAAACGAATAATATTCATTATATACGTGAGTAGTTAGATATATTAATCATCGTAAATTACACAGGCTAAGACCAGAATTTAATTTACTAAGTTTTTCTGCATTAGCTATTTTTTAATTTAGATACTTCAAATAATACTCACTTTTCCATTTCCCGATAATCATTCAAATTGTCAGGACGCCACTTATTCTCAACCATGTTATGGACGCTTTAAGAAAAACAAAAGAAAATAAATAAATAAATAAGTTCAAAACAGATCCCGTTTAAAAATCTATGAATTTTTATACGTACAAGGTGTTTTTTATTAACAAAAATAATACATACTACGCAGATATGAGAATTCGTAGATTAAATGTTATTCATTATATTATAACACTTTACCCCCAAAAAATGCCACTACTACTTTAACACACAAAAGACTATATTTATGGTCATTATCCACAGTTAAAAAAAAGCTACTTACTTACTCGATATATATTAGAAAATTAAATACATTAATATTTTAGTAAAAAAACATACAAAATAAAAATACTAAAAAGTAAAATAAGCAAACCAACTTAGCATTTTATCTATGAAGTCTTTGATGTTGTATAAGAAAATACTAATCAATTTCGTTATTTATTGAAATTACCTTTCATGACGAGTCGACAGGTCCGCCTACGAAGTCACAAGCATACCCAAGCTACCCATAAAACTAATGTTATACTAACCATAGCAGGGCGAGCGTTATTCTGTATTTTCTCTAAAGTATCGTCGAAAGAAAATACACGGATTATGTGTATTTTCTTTTAAATGTTAATTACGCCGTATCAACCTGTCCCGACGTTTACAAGCAAATCAAACATCGCAACGGTCAATATTTGTGATATATAAATGTGATTTAATTGGGTAAAGTATATTTTTATTGAAATGTTATTGTTAATGTCACGAATTAAATTACTCTCACCCCATTTGATCTCCCTGAGCGCTAAGTTGCGCAAGATACGCGGCCTGCTTGCGGTGATGATACATATGCACGCGTAAACATGACGGATTACGCATACGTTTCTGGCAAATTTCACATTGCAATGTCCCTTCTCTAGTGTCATGTTTGTCTCGTATGTGAACTTTAAGGTTGTAACGATTGGCAAAGAACCGATGACACGACGGACATTTAACACCGCCCGTTTTGCAGTTCCAACCTATGAGGAAATATAACTCTTGATTTAGCATTGTTTTTGCATATTTTCACAGCCAATTATCTTTCTTTGTCTACTATACAGCTTGGTACACGCGTTTGGTTGTAATAAATTTAATTTTCATCACTTAAACTGTTGCTGAAATCTTTATTTATTTCTAAAAAGTGACGACAAGTATTATTAGACCCTTTTTGCCCTTTAATTTTCTTTCTTTAAAATATGTTTACATTAGCTATCAAAATTCAAGTTTGTAATCTATTTGGTTTAAGCTCATCTTTTATTTTAGAGTTTGTTTTTTTAAATATCGAACTGTACATATCTCAATATGTTTGAGTTCAGTTGTAGGTTTGGGTTTTCCTTGACATTAAACAAAAAATAACACAACTTTCTTAATAAAATTAAATTAATTTTACAACAATAAGTAAATTTTTTGTTTCAATAAACAGAAGTTATATAATAACTTATCTCACTTCTAAACTAAGTTTTTTCTTTTGCTTTATAATAATTGCGTAACGGCTTTTCAAAAGTTTGCAGTCACTTATTTTTTGAAGAAGCGTTTTATTTGGCTTCAACCGTAAAAGTGTTTAAAATCGCTTAAATGTCAATTATCTAGTTCAATCCCGGTTTAATATTGTGTTGATGAATCAGTCAGGACAAACAGTTTTATATGAAGATGGTACATACCTGTTTCTTTAGCAGAGTCTGGTACAACCAAGATATTATGAAACATATCGCTGTCGAAGTCGATCAAGGGTTCACTGAAATGTCGTGTAATGAAATAAAAACAAAAATAAAACAACTATAAAGGCGAATGTGTGAGCAACTTAGTTACACTAAATAATCAATGGAATAAAGTGGCCTTTGACTCGTGTATAAATATTAATTGCAAGTCAAATTTTCATGTTTTTTTTTCCTTCAGTACATGTGGATAAATAAATCAAAGACCACTTTTAATGAAATAAATCAACGAAATGAACATCTAAATAATTACTGAACAAAAGTAGGTGCTTTAAAAGTGCATGTTTACATATATGGGTAGAAGAAATTTACTATTTACCCAGATACATCACTGTAGGCTCCTTCAGGAACAAACTCACTGTTTTCGGGATGAGAGGGACTGTTGTTGGCTGAAGGCCTGGGCTTCTTTTTGTTGTTGTTGCTTGTTCTGTTTTGTGTATTTTTCATTAATCTATAAAAAAAAATCATATGTTTCAAATTGCTGTAATTGTACACGGGGCAGACACATTTGTGTGTTTTATTAATCTTTTAGACATTATTATAGGACCAATATTCTGATTAATTATTATTAGCCTGACAACCCCAAACAAATGTTTCGTCGTTCATTGAATCCAGGACTTCCGGGTTTTACATCAAGTCCAATAATAATATGAATAAGTAATATGCAATAAATCTAAAATAACTCTGGAATCAGTCAGTAATTTAATTGTTAAGTACTTGACTCCCTGCATTTTTCTTTGAATTAGCATTTAAAGCTTCATTGAAAATTATCCTGTACACTAAGAGTTAACCCACGAATAAAAAATAAATAATAAAATACACTGTTAATCTGAAATATTTTTCCCAAGCCTAAAATTATAACAACCAGCCACCAAAACCCTAAAATTATACACATAAATGATTTGGTCTATTCCAATACTCAAATAGGTATGTCTAGTAATGTACAAACCGTTTTAGAGGGCTTCTTGCAGCTTCTTCCTTTGGAATCAATGCTGGTATTTCAGGGGGTATTTCCATACTTGATGTTTCTTCTGGTTGAACCCACTCAGGCAAGCTGTCGCTAGTTGCTTCATTGATCTGAGATCTTGGTGTGCAGGAATCATCAGAGGCTGGCGGTGGTGACTCGCTTTTCTATTAACAAATTATTATTATAGAAAAATACCTATGTTCACATGAAATATGATCAAGTTAATGGAAATACATGAAATGCAAAACCACTGATTGCCACCAGACTACCTGAATAAACAATATAGCAAATTATCATAAAATATTCATTAATGGATCAGACTACAGATTTTATTAAAATTTATTATATAAAATATATATATATATATCTTATATTAAAATAAAATTATGATGGATAATTGCCAATATTAGAAAAAGAGCACTTGCTAAACTGAATTATAAAATAAAAAATACACAGTATATAAATATAACACACCTCTCTGCCACTTGTGAGGCCCTTAATTTGCAAGAGTTCAGCTGTATGAAGGAAAGCAGACAACTCTTGCTGACGAACATGCACCTCTCCTTTGTACATAAACTGGAGAAGCTGCTTCAATTCATGATAAGACACATCCTTAAGAATGACTATAGGATGTTCACATGGATTCATCTAAAGACAAATTATATATATTTAACAAAAGAACAACTCCAATCAATAAAAAATTTTAACATTTTAACAAAGATGAGTTGTATTAACAAATTAATTGTATATAAAATAATAATATAAGAATTTCATGTGTGATTATTGAAATTTGATCTAATGTTTTTTTAATGCTAAAAAAAGGGAATAATAATGTTTAATACCCATTCATAACTATTATATACTAATATAATATTATATACTTTGCTAAGGTGATATAATAAATTAACATTTGGAATTCTTTTACAACAGTAAATTGTAAAATATATTTATAATGTCTTGGTATTTACAACATTTTTAATATAAAGTAAGGACATATTCTTATTGTTTAAATAATATAGTATGTCAACTTTGCATTAAACAACTTAATGGTAGTCTAAACAGGACTTGGAGCTATATAATATTTAGGACAACTTGAATGTATATTATTAGTAATATTGTCATAAATACTGAAATGTAACAATGAGTGATTAATAGCTATATGTAGGTACATAAAGATAAGACTTAAGTAAATAACAAGAATCAACACATAACTGCATTAAATTTACATTACAACATGACACATAGTATTTAAATATATGAAAAAATTCTGTATACATAAAGAATAAGATATTTTCTTTGAGGAAAAAATTTAATTAACAAAGGCAATTCATTATGACTCATACCTTAAACAATTCCTTGAAGTAAGGACTGCAGACTGACAAAATTAACTTGTGTGCATGAACATACTGGCCATCAGCCGCCAACGTCACATCAACTAGATCCTCACCATCCAACAACGCTTGGAACGACAGTGCGAGATTTGCGTGGAAGTCATTCCACCGAAGTGAAAACTGGTCGGGCACTGCCATCGCCTGAAAAACAGCATCCACAGCGTAAAATCAAGTTGCCTTCTATCGGAGAGTAACTGTACAATCCATTACGCGTCCACACAATGAAACTAACACTTACTGAAAACCAATGATAAACACAATAAACTGCTCACGTTCACGCCTTCTAATTAATGAGTTGGTAAACAGTCTTATTAAACATAATCACAAAGGTAAATATGAAACCAATAATCTATTCTGTATTAAAATTAAATCTAACTGGCACTTCAATCAATACACGAAATATTACAAAATGTCGCTAACTCGCTTGTTGATTTAGACACTAGACACATCGATACTAGACAAATAGGAAATTCCAAGTTGTAAATGGCAATACTGACAACACGTAAACACGCCTAGATTTAATATGAAATGAGTTTTCATAAGTTTAATTGCTTTTATTGATTAATTCAACATTAGTTGCTTTTCATATATAACAGGAATTGACAAAACTTGTTAATGTGTAAAAAACGCAAAACTCCTAATTCTACTTGCATAATTGTGATATTTTAAAGTTTTCCTCGCTTTTGAAATTAATTGATAAATGGTAACATTGATGTTCTATGCCTTTAACTCATAAGAATTTTTGTTATAACATTATTACTTATGGTATACACGTAGTCTATGATTAAAGCTCCTATACACTTGTAATGGGAATAATATGGAATTATCAATGGTGTCTTTCCTTTGTCTCTCTCAAACATCCAATAAAATATTATAACGGCAATATCAGTTTCACAAAAATTAAATTAACCTTTATGCTATTAGTCTGCATCGTTTAATGAATGACATTCCGTTGCGCGGTCATTTGGAAGGGAATTCTAATTAGCCTGTATTGACGTTTGATGTGCTCAGCAAGGTGAAACGGTACTTTACTCCGGGCCACCTTTTGCAACTGAGTGTTCAGAGGAGTTGTTTGGGTTGTTTGGGTCGGACGTCGAGACAAAATATGAAATTCCACCCGTATCTCCTCGACGTCCGTCGTTCCACAGTGTTTTAAGGCAGTTTTTACCACGCACCATCTCTATGTTAAACCATAATTATACACACTGAACTATTTCTGAACCAATTCTACTCAGGCAAGGTCCTTCAAGAAAACAACGTACAAATTCTTAAAAGCAACGCACTTGCACGCTTTCTGGCAGTATGAGTGTCCATGGGCGGTGGTATCACTTAACATCAGGTAAGCCTCCTGCCCGTTTGCCCACCCCGGTTTATTACAGTGCACCAGCACTTGGGTGTATTATTTTTAAATGAAGTGAAGAAACCAATAGTTTACAAAATAAATTTTCAAAATCATATTTTTATTATATACTTTTTATTTATATTTTTTGTATGGGTGCAGTATAAGTGTACTTATACAGATGCTTTCTAGAGACCCAGGGTAAAGAAATTTATTACATTACTTTACACTACGACTGGCATTTATGTATTGTATTTCCACTCTTTTTCTTTGAATTTAATTTACATTTTTTGTTTATTTCCACAGCAATAGGAGAAATAGTTAAGTAGAAAACGAAATCAAGTATATAAGGGGGCATTAATAAAATGTCAAATAAAGATCAATGTCAAAACTGAAAACTGACTGCGTCAGCGAGTGACAAGTTCATGTTGTAAATGCAAGTGGCAAATGGCAATAAACAAGTTCATTAAATTCGTCTTGAAGGCTAAACTCTGAAGTGGTACGTTGGCATATGAACTATCAATTTCTTGTTTTATTTTGTATTTACGTGTAAAATATGATATAAGAATTGACCATGAGGTTATTCTGTTCGTGACTCTAACGGCCCCTCTTGTATGAGGATGTCGGTGAGCTAAAAAGCTGTACTCACATTAACTAATTATTTAAATGTCAGAGAAGTCATTGAATTATTCACAATGCTAGGATTCACATTTAAAGAAGATACAGATGCTGACAGAGTGCTATTAGTTATGAAGGTGCTTAGTGCCACTTTTTACGCCGTGTCTTCATTTATGATAACGGTGGTTAATAAAACTGTGCTGACCTCATACGCGTTTCCTTCTTATCAAGTATTAGGCATTGGACAAATGTTAGCGATAATTATAGTTTTATGGGTAAGCCGTGCCATTAAAATTGTTGAATTTCCTACGCTGGATCGTGGAGTTGCACAGCGGATATGGCCCTTACCAGTGATTTATTTGGGCAATATGGCAACCGGTCTTGGAGGAACAAAAGAGCTTAGTCTTCCAATGTTCACGGCTTTACGCCGCTTCAGTATTCTAATGACGATGATCTTAGAGCGATTTGTGCTAGGAATCAAAGCCTCATGGCCAGTTAAAGCAAGTGTGATGGCCATGGTTGGAGGAGCATTACTAGCCGCTGCTGATGATGTCACATTTTCATGGTCTGGATACACTCTTGTTCTTCTAAATGATGGATTTACTGCAGCAAATGGTGTATACATGAAGAAAAAATTGGATTCAAAGGAATTAGGTAAATATGGATTGATGTTCTACAATGCACTCTTTATGATAGTACCAGCTGCAATAGTAGCATGGTGCACCGGTGATTTAAGACGCTCTGTAGATTATCCTCATTGGTCTGACTCACTGTTTGTGCTACAGTTTCTTATGTCCTGTGTGATGGGTTTTGTCCTCTCATACAGTGTTATGTTATGTACACAATATAATAGTGCATTGACAACAACAATAATTGGGTGCTTAAAGAATATTTTGGTAACTTATTTAGGTATGATCATTGGAGGCGACTACGTTTACTCATGGCTGAACTTTGTTGGATTAAACATAAGTGTTCTTGCGAGTTTATGGTACACCTATGTTACTTTTAAACGTAAACCAACTTCATATGCTTTACTGAATGAAGCAAATAGCAAAGTTGATACAGTTTAAAGATAATAAACAACCTACTTGTACAGTAAGAATGGTTGACACCAAAGAATTGTGGTCAAGAGTAATTAAAATCTATAAAAGTTCTTTCTTTGTGGCCATGTAAAATTAGATAAGTTATTTTATGTAAATATATACTGTAGATAAAATCACATAAAATTATGCATTTATTTATTGTTGAATTTTCACTTGACATTAAAATATGACTTGTTACATTGGATGTATTTCAGTAACGCGGCTTTCTTAGTTTTTAAAGGAGCTTTGAGTACAGTTTTAGTACAAAGAGGAAACTTTAAGAGAACTTTTCTTTCTTTAAATAGAAGGTTTTTGTGAATGGGCAGCCTTTATATTTTTACTCTATTGTGTATCATTATGAGATGAAGTCATTTTACCCAGTTACTGATTAATTTGACCACTGTAAAATTATATACAGTCATTGCATAGCTATGTAAGATATTTGCCATTAATCATAAATATTACTTTTGAATATTATTGTGATTGTTAGTGTTAAATATTTAAATATAAGTAAAATATGTATTGTAAAGTATATTTTTTCTAAAGTAGGTTAACTAGGAAACAGTAGCATCACAAAAAAACCTTAAAAGAAGAAATATAAGTTGTATAAATGAATCCTAAAAAATGGTTCACACCTAAAATCAAAGCAATAAAATAAATACACAATAAAAATGGTCATTACATTAATTATCTAAATATTACATAATAATTTTATTAGAGTAAATAAAAAATATATGATAAAATAAATTTGACACCATTTGATAATCTTGAAGAAAAATAATTTTAGATTATGAAGCACATAATATTGGTTTCAGATGCATTATAAGTAGATTTAAAAGTAATGAACAATTGAAGTTATCAGATACATTTTGTATTAATAACGTAACTATGTACTTCTACTATCAGTAATTTAGTAAAGATAGTGTATTATTACAGGAAACGTCTTTCGCAAGATTGAAGGACAAAAATTTATTTTAGTTTAAAATTACGAACAAGTTGTTACTATATGTTTTGTAATTTATTATTGTATAGTGTATAATAGGATAAAGGTTATGCAACTTATCAGGTTGCTAATGCACAAATAAAGTTCTACGTGTTTAAATAATGCTTCGTTGAGTTATTTTATGAAATGCGAGTAGTACTGACTTAACTCATTTTACACTGCACTATTCATTCATTTTTAAAAAGATGCTTTATAAAGCATATGAATATTATTTTGCAATAAAAATAGTTGCATATAGGAGTTACGTCAGTTATTTTTAACACCGAAAATGTGGCTGTAATAAAGTTCCAACAACATCTACTTCTACTGTTGACTACATCTCAGTCAGTTAGAAACAGAAAAGTATTGGATTTCTATTACTATATTACGACTGTAGACTAAAGGTAGAAAAGATTTATATACAGTTTTATATATACAGACGGTAGTTAATGCGTAGTGGTTACTACGCAGACATAGTTGATGTAGATCAACCACTTTAAAACTGTATATAATTATTTTAACTTATTAATTTATGACGCTACTTAAACAGCTAACTGCAACTTAAAACACTTAAAAAGCTAGTCATATTCTACTCCTTTTTTCTCTACAAGTGCATAATATGTGGGTCTCAATCTCTAATTGAGATTAGCCAAGTTTGTTAAGTAGGGTGTCCCAGTTTTAAGAATCTTCAACCAAGGGGCCCGATAAACGAGCTTTTGGGTTAGGAGCTTTGAATCACAACCCAGATAATAATTGTCTACCGCCTGGTGCACCGAACTTAATGAAAGATGTGACATTGTTATATTACAATTATTTTAATTATTCTCGTGATTTATATAGGTGGCGGATATTATTGTAAAGTAGGTAATATTTCATCAATGTCCTCATTGAATATATTGGTGAGATATTACTGTTTTAAAATTTGCTATAATGTTAAAAATTTATATATGCAATAAATATTGTGGCATTTTATTTTGTTTTCTTTCTTGTCTGTATGATGCTGATGCTAATCACCGACTTGAGTAATGGAATAAACCTGATCCAAGTAAATCTTTACACCATAATAATTATTAATATCGATATTTCTTAAATATTTATAGGTGCTAATAATGTGTTAGTAGTCCCATAACACTGCAATGTAGCAAGGACAGTTTTGCGTCTGTTCTATTGATAATTTTTACTGATATGCAAGTCTTAGCCCTTCGTGTCTGACACATGTCATTTGATTTGGCATGCCGTTTTCTACATTAAGAATAACCCCGTGTCACAAGGCTAACAGTAATCAGTGATAATATATAATATGAATTTTAAATAAACATAGAAAGCCAATAATACAAAAAAGCAACAAAGTTTATTTCAAATCTTCGGTACTTATATGAAATTAATTAAAATTTTATAGACATTTACGACTAATGTAGTTTTGAGGTGATTAAATTTTTAGCTGAAACTAATGAAATCTTGTTGAATAAATCTTAAGTCCCTGATGTATTTTATTTAAGTTTCCTGATAACATAATTACTTTAAAAAGCTTATCGTGACTCTGCGAATCATAAATTAGTGCTGCAATTAATTATACTCTCTCTGGTATACGATCATTCTAATAATAAAGAAGGAATTCTTTCGTATAATCAGGCATATTACTATATAATATATGCATCGTTCCAAATCTTATGACATTATAATTATGAAATACAAAACTCCATAGAGATGTACGAGTAGGTCCATGATTGTTCCATGTCGTCATCAGTTCAGGTAATAGTGTTGTAGCCTAGGACGCCTGCCCGTCCCCGTGTTACACAGACACAGACAGACAGACACATACGTCTTTTCCGTTGATTGTTATTATATTACACGAAATACTACTATTATTGCTTTGTCAGCGATATTAACTAAGCTAGATGCAGGAAGTAGTATTTTTAAAATATAATTCTTTAATAAACAAAATAATCAATGGCGCTAGAACCTTTTTGGGTCTGGGTTTCCGATTTCTTCTTTCTTCTCTGTTTCATGATCATTTGGTAATCTAATAGGCAAGTAGGTGATCAGCCTTCTGTGCCTGACGGACGCCATTTTTCTACGCACTTTTTCGGTCTAAGGCAAGCGGGTTTTTTCACGATGTTTTCCTTCACCGTTCGAGCGAATGTTAAATGCGCACATAGAAAGAAAGTCCATTGGTGCACAGCCGGGGATCGAACCTACGACCTTAGGGATGAGAGTCGCACGCTGAAGCCACTAGGCCAACAACGATAATTCTTTAATATTTAAGAATATTCATTGGATACACCTAAGTCTTAGTGAATCTATATAAAGTATTCGACAACTTACTTAAGAGTAATATTTTCGAAAATAAACAATTTAAAATCGAGCAAGTTAGCGAGAAATACTCATATCGATTATTTTAAAAGAAATGAATAGAAGTTAACTAAGTAAAGTTCTCGACTGTATTCATGCATAATTAAAATAAAAAGAACCTGCTCTCCCGAGGGTGTAATGACCGTGATCCCTCTATTCAAAAATTCGGTTGTTCTTTAGGGTTGGGACAAATATTTTAAAATATTAGATCCAGGAACGATATATGTAGCAACTAAAATTTGGGTACCAACGTTGACGTGGTTTGCACCTTATATATATTACTGTGGCTGTGAGTGTTATGTCACGTGAATTCAAATCAAAAAGATGCAACGTGTATATGCATGATTAAACAAGCGTACATTCACATAAACGAATTAAAAATAACATTTATAAAATAGACCAGAATAAATTAAACGTAGAATTCTTCATAATTACATTTTTAATGAGTATGTGGTTTGCATAAAACATGCTGTAGGTGTGCTTACATAGTTACCTGCGGCGAATAGCGTCTGCCTATCCTTTTTTGTTTTTCACTGCAAACGAGTGTCGTGTGCTCCATTTTCGTGAGCGCGTTCACAGACACGTGAAAGCGTATAATTTTATACTTTACGTGTTAGAACATAAAGCATACCCAAAAATTTTATGTACAAGAGAAAATCTACAGCACTTCAGATCTAAGCCTGCAACCTTTTCTTTTTTTTTGTTAAGAGTACATGTTGAAGGAATACCAAAATCAGATATATCACGACATTCACTTTGCAATATTACCTAAATAAAAAATATTTTATTAAATGCCTCGGAGTTTAGTCGATTAAAGTTTAAGATGATTTCATATAGAGATTCGATAAAACGATTAAAACAATAAATTTATTATCAATAGTTTATTACATAAATTATAGCCAAGCTTTCATTGTTCGTATCTAATCCAATTTTAAAAAAAATTAACTGCCTAATTTTATACTTTAATTAAATTATTTCTGTATACTATGTAAACAGGGCATATTCATCGTCTATTTTACTTTAAAACGAAAAATGGTTTTAATAGAAACATACAGATTATTTATCCTCAAAAATATGTAACAACTTTTTGTTAAATTTTCAATATTTAGACGATGTACCTACCCCGTATTCTAGACATAAAAAATCTTACAAATAAATCTAAAGATCACGCTATGAATTACAATTAATTAGGCTATGATTGGTGTTCTACTGTTAAACTATACCATCGTCGTCGTAAATGATAATGATATTACATTAAGTTCTACGTCAACGCGCACAAGCAATGTTATAACTAAGTCCTCATTAAGGTACGAGTATGGCTTCCAACCTTACAACACATGTAAAGTTTAGGACATGAAATACATATACTATCTTATATCAATAACCGGTACAAATGCGTCACCAATGGTCTCGCTCCATTCAATTGATTCTACATAAAAATAATGTAAGGGCAAAGACCTAAAAATATAATTGAACACCTGATATATAAATGACGGAGTAGAGTCTACACCAAGTACGTCAGTTTAGAATATAAATAAATTTATGAATGGACTGTTCCTCTAATTATCTTACGAATAGTAGAAGTGTAAGTATAGTGGACAATACGTTGACCAAAGTTACAGTATTCGTAAGATGCAAATATGATTTAATATTATGATAAATATTCTTGAGTGTGGTGATTTCTATGATAAATCACGTGTTTTCATATAGGTATTTAAACAATATCTATATACAAACATATAAAAAATAAGGTTTGTTTTGAAACGCTTTAGTTCACAAAGACGGTCACTGTATCCCAAACCTGACTAACAGAATTTACATAGGATATTTCGGACATACATATTTACATTTTCGGGAAAAAATTGTTTGTAACAAATTATATTAGTTGCCATTGTTCTAGAACCTCGTTTATTGCTTTCCAATATTTAGATGTAAGATATTTTATATTTTAGCCAATCCGTTATTAAAACAAGAACCTTCAAATAATATCACTTTAACAGAGCGGCTTGTCAGAAAATATTGAATAAGTAGAAGAATGGCGTTATGCATATTTTTTTCTTTGATAATACCGAATATTAACCTTTGATATTTTCACTAAACTATAAAAAACAATAAAGATTGTAAATACATTCTTATCATATACTATTAATACGTATTTTTATTATTGCTATATGAATCATTTGTAAAAGATACTGATTTGGTGTTATCGTTAAAGGTATGTTTGCCATGTGTATTATATGTGAACAATGTGCATTAAAATAAACGTGTTAAGTCATAAAACTGTTCTATATCATACATATATTGAGACGTATTGCACTATATTTAAAGGCATCTAGTCGTAACAATATTACAAGGATGTTATTAGTAAATAAAAACGTTTAAAAATGTAAACTATTTGAAAACAACAGCAATAATATTGACCTAAGCAAAGACGAACACAATTTGTATCTATTACACCTGAGTTACTTTACCAAAGCCAATGGAAGACCTCAACATGTTTTACGCATGATAAATTATTTAACAAAGGTCAGAATACTACTTGCGCTATTCGTTATAAAATTGAGCGTCCAAAATTACAATGTAGTATATAACGTTTTTTAGTTAAGCTTTGACTGTGTTGTGTTTGTTTTTAACAAGGCAGTTATTTTATTTCTGTTCCAATAATTGGCAAAACTTTTATAAAATATTCATACGAACACGTGTTGTGTGGCGAATCTCTAACAGTCAATGCAACTTTTAGACTCTACATAGAGAGAAGAGACAACCCTGTCTTCCTAAGACACGAGTTGTTAACAAAAACTGGGCTTACCTTTTTGCCTCAGACTTAAAAGCCTTTCCTGCAAGTTTTAAGAAACGTGAATGAACCTACTATTTTTACCCAAACATACAGTTTTCACATAGTGCAATTCTCTAATCAGATAAATAGTTTTGCGTATTATATCAACCTGCACATAATAATAGGCAAATAATTATAGCAACATTACATTCAGATAATAAATAGTATTTTAAGAAATTATTAACATATGTATTGTATTTTGTGACGTCTTCAAAATAATTTCATATGATATATAAAGATAAAAAAGAATATACAACGTTATACATATCATTTAAATATAGCTGTTGGAGACTGATTATTGAAACGTTACATTGAAACAGCTGAAAGCTAAATAAATCACTAAGCATTTGATTGACCTTAAAAAATTTACGTAGATAGCTGTCATTTAAAACTTATATTAAAAAAACGACCATCACAAGCGTTAGGCGAAGCTCTTACAACTATATTGGCAGTATAATGTTTTTAATCCATTTCTAATCATCTTGTAAAAATTATTACAAATATATTGAAAACTTTAGTACCTAATATTTAGAACTATCATATTATAGAGTTATCAAATTAAAAGATATCAATTACATTAAAAATTTACACTTGAAATACATAATAATCAATGATTGAGTGGTGATTGAACAAAGTGTTTCTTTGTAGAACATTTGCAAATGAAAATCAAACCTATTAGATTTTATTATACACAGCCATTAGCATGTACTCCTTAAGAGCGAAAATATAAACATTACACTTAAGTTCCAGCCATATATACAAGCGAATAAAATAGGGGCAATAAAAATACAACAAAATAAACGTATTGTTGTGGCAAGTTAATATGTTAATTAAGTACATCATTATAATCACAAGTTGAAATATAAAAGGCAAGTTTATCTAATTATAAAGGAGATTTTCACATGAACAAACTTTTATTATATTTAGACACTTATGGCATTTTATATTTTCTTAAAAAAGAATAATATAATAAAATACTTTCACAAGTTCCACTTATACAAAATGCACACCAGGACAGTGAATTTAGCTACCTACAATTAATATATAATTTCTTATATATGTCATCGGAATGTCGATAAATTGATACAATTCTATTTAAATCTTTCTAAACTAAATAAGTTTATATGTAAAAAAATGTTTCTTTGTCAAAATTTTACTGACAAAGATAAAAACTTAAAACTAAAATTTATATAAATAAGATCACAAATTATATTTCAGTCACAAAATAGCTACCACAATTGCTCATATATGTGTTGTTTAAATTTTACAACAGATTTATTGAATTAGGTAAACATGGCAATGCTTTCGTTGTATTTTAAGACGACAGCTTAATAAAGCTTTGTTTTAGATAAAATAATATAAATTAGGCCCCAGATACGAAAATGATGTGTGAATGTTGGAGTAATGGTATCTTTAAAAACACTGAATTAACGTTCCACCCATCCGAAGGTCCATAATACTATTACTTTAACCCTACTTCTAGGACAGTTTTTTTTTAGAAAAATATACAAAATGCATTACATTTCTTAATTTTAATCACTGTGAAAATCACTTTTTGACAGATGGAGATTGAGTATTATCATCAAAGACATCATTCTTGTTATTACACAAGAAACCCATATGGCCCACTTACACGGATCTGTGCCCGCATGCTTTGAACACTATTCATTATTTTTTTCTGATGACCAACCAAGGTAACTCCCAAAGAGGTCAGCTGGTGAACAGTGAGATCTACAACAGCATTCATATCTGTTATACCAGCAGCCCTGAATTTCTCAATGTATCTTGACATTTTAATACATTCCAACCATTCTTCAACAGATGAGAATTGGATTAAGTCTGGTGTGTCTCCAGCTAATGGATCAGTTGATCGATTTTGAGCTATCTTTCTCAATGTGTCTGGGCAACGTATGAGTTTATCTAAAGTTTTAACAATGCTTACAAAGGTGGGCCGATGAGTACGTTCTTTCTGCCAACAGTCCAACATCAGTTGATAAACAGCTTCAGGGCAGTCCATTGGAGCTGGTAGGCGATAACCTTTCTCTATTGATTTTATGACATCCTGATTACTCCAATTCCAGTAGGGCCTTTCCCCAAAACTCATTACTTCCCAACAAACAATCCCCATTGACCAAACATCACTGGCAGATGTAAATTTCCTAAATGCTATTGCCTCAGGGGCTGTCCATCGTACTGGAATTTTCCCACCTCGAGTTGTATATGCTCCATCTGCGGTTGATTCAATTTCTCGTGATAAACCAAAATCAGCTATTTTACATACTAATTGGGAATTAACTAATACATTCCGAGCAGCAAGATCACGATGAATGTAATTCATTTCTGATAGATATTGCATTCCAGTTGCTATTCCACGAAGCATGCCAACCAGTTGAAGCACACGAAATTTACCATCATTTGCTCGTAAGAATGTGTCCAATGACCCATTCTCCATAAATTCTGTAATAATCATTATTGGATTACATTTTGTAACAACCCCTTGTAAGAAGATAACATTAGGGTGCTCAAATTGCCCCATAATTGATGCTTCAGCAAGAAAATCTCGGCGGGCTCTTTCAGTTGAACCAGGCTTTAGTGTTTTTATTGCCACATCTATTTCTTGACCACATGCGGGTAATTTTAATTTTCCTCGACACACATCACCAAATTCACCTCCACCAATTATGGCTTCTATAGTAATACAAGAGGCATCTATTTCACGAGCAAATTCTCTAACAGCTTGGTTTGGGTCTTCATAAGTATGTGGATCAATGTAAGTCCTTGATCCCGTACCAGCAAAGAGTGGTGTTGTTGCATTACTACTTGTTTTTGTAGGTCTGTCTGGTCCCGTATATACTTCTCCGTTTCTATAGTTAAGTGCATTACAGTCACTCGGCTGTTTCTTGTCACATTCATCGTCAGTACGAGACCTCAAAAATAATACTGTGGCAATAATGGCCACAACAGATAGAACAACCACAGCAACCATAACACCAGCAAATAATCTTACTCGGGCCCCTTCTTCTTCGCTAACAACTAATGTTGGTTCCAATCCTGCACCTGTTCTCGCATACATAATTCCACTTAGTTCTCCCCACCCTCGCTTCATTTTAGCTCTGACTCTCACTCCATATTCAGTGTCCCTTTTCAGGCCAGTAATAACTGCATGAGGTTCTTTTGTTATTTTAACAGTGACATTTGCACTTCTTTCATTGTTATCTTTAGGGAAGCATTTTACTTCATAGCTTTCAATTGTATCATCAGGATCAGTTACATCTACAGGAGGAGGAGTCCATACTAATGAAAGTTTGTCATTTTCTACACTAACTATTCTTAACTTGGAGACCACACTCACTACAGATGCCTCTGTTATAGCAGTTATTTCAACTTTCTTTGGAGAATCACCGGTTAAGTCTGATACACCATTAACAGCAAAAACTTGAAATTTGTATTCAGTAACTGGGTCTAAACCCATCACAGTGACTCGAGTGTGATTAAGACCATTTGAAGATGGTCTATACTCTACATGGGGCCCACAATTTGTACATCGAACTTCATATGTAACATCATCTCGTCCACCTGATTTATGTGGTGGATGCCAAGCTAGAGATATAGAAAACTGATCAGCAAATGTTACAGTCAGGTTGTCAGGTACACCTGGTGGTTGAGTACATGGAACATTCTTAGGGTCTTTCTTGGCTCGGAAAAAACCTGGTATACATTTACATTCAACAGAGGCATGGGCTGTAGTCTCTGAATTATCAGGGCATGACATACAAGCTTCGTCACCAGTATGTGATTTGAACTTCCCAGGGGCACATTCATTACAAACTTGGTTGCTGTGATCTGGTTCATAGCCTCCTTTGCATTTGCATGATCCACTAGGTAAAGTCCATTTTCCATCTCCTTTGCATAAATAAACTGGAGGAGACTCACCTTGAGCCGTTTCAGCGTTCTCAACACAGGTACCATTGGCCTGTTCAATGACAGTTACTTCACGGCCTGTAGGGGTTGCTGGGAACTTTGCAAAGTTTATTGTTACTTCTGGGCATGTAATGTAATAAACTTTCACTGCTAAAATAGAAATGCAGGCACCTTGATCTCTGAATGCTATGTATACTCCTCGTTTTGTTACAGCTATGCTCTTTACCTCTGTATTTATGTCAACTTCTGAGTTTGTGTTGAACCTGCCTTCACCAGCTGCTATTCTGCCCACTAGTTTATAACTTTCAGGCTCCCATGGTGGTTGTTCGCGTGTTGCGACGTCAAACTCATAATATAACAGACTGAAGGTTTCCTTGCAACTCAGTGCGTTTCCCGGAAATAAAGAGCAATCTCGGATAGTGAAATTAATCTCGATGTATATACGATTAGCGTTTCGTCTTTCAATGAATGGTGTCCAAAGCCAATTGTTTACATTATGGTGGGCAACATCACAAACGACATACGATCGCCAGTTTATATGCTTTTCAAAATTGGTGTAAGATTCTTCTACCCATCCGGGGGTACTCGCCTGTGCACCGTAGGGGTAACGTGTCCAACCAAGAGTATTTTCAGTCGTGGTATCTAGAAGCATCACTTGATCGCCCTGAACGCTAATAGTAGTGATAACTGCGGCCGCCACCGCTACGTGAAACCACATCATCTCGGCGACATAACAATAAAAACACCAAAAAAATACTTAACTGGTTTAAACAATCGAATGCACGAAAATCCAGCTTTTCAACTACATAATCTTTAACAGTTCACTGTTTTAAGGAATGTACAGTATTTTGGGGTAGCACTTCACTTTGTCGGGGATAAAAGACGAGACCACTCCGTCATTTTCCTACAACGTTGTATTGTGTGGAATAGCGATTTAGAGCTATCGCACTGATTAAATGTTTTTAAATTTACACTTCTATACATTAAGTTCTGTTTGAAGCTGACGCTTATCAAAAACGGCACTCTTTTAAGTGAAAATTCGTGATTATAATTTCTATTGATCCCGTGCTACACATACGAAATCTTACTTTCTTGACATGGACGCGCAGGAATGTCAAATGTTGCTAGATTAAATAAGCAAAAACACATTCTATTATGGTCTAAAATAATATGTTTGATAATATTACTTGAGAGTGATAAATATGTACGTAATCATTTTTGGATGTGGAGTTAATTTTATTTGTGATTATGTTTAGTAATGTTATGATTTTTGTAAAAATGCAGAGTATAAATTTAGTACAGTTTTAACTGTAAGACAAATACTAAATAATTTTGTCTTTTAGTATTGTTTATGGCATGTATAGCGGGAAATTTAAAAATACTTTACATATAGAATCAAGCCATTTGATGGCAAAAGTTTTGGTTTAAAAGTAAACTAAGAGATAAAAACCAATTCAAAATAAGTTTTAAAACTTTTATTACAATAAATAATAATGACTAAATATTGTTTGCTATAAGCTTAAATAATAAAAATACAAATCCTATATTTTATATAAATGGTTTTGATAACAAAATAATATTGCACTTATTGATAGTCTAAACTTGTACAATTAACTAAATTTGTTCTGAAATTCTATTGCCGTTTTCAATTCATGTAAATTTTTGAAATAGTGCAACGGGTTTATATCACCTAGGCCACTAATGTTGTTTGTAACAAGGATAGCTTGCCATCCAGCTTTTTTAGCCCCAAGATAATCTTTCTTGTAATCATCTCCAATATGTAAGCATTCAACTGTAAATAGATTTAATTTACTATGTTCAATAGCTGATTCAAAAATTTTTATATCAGGTTTGCTATAACCAATTTCGTATGAGGTCAGAATAAACTTGAAATATGAACTCAAATTCAAATTCTGTAATATCTCATGAAGACGTGGGTCAAAATTAGACACAATCCCTATATCACAACATTGTGACTTTACATGTTCTAAAATTTCAATGGCACCATCTGCAGGACACCAGCATTTTGGTGACTTATAGTCTTGTATAAGTTTATTACCAATACATTTAATATGCTCATTATCCTTTATCTTCTCTGCAAAAGTTCCTTGAACAATTTCTCTCCACCAATTTTCCCACAATATAGATTCTTTTCCAAAATTAGGGTGCCTTTTCGTCAACATTTCATAAGTGTATAGGAACTGTTTCTTAATTTCATCTTCATGTATTTGATAGCCATATTTTTCTGCTACATTTGCATAGAATTTCCATGGTGATACACATAATTTTAGTAAAGTATTTGTAGCATCAAAAGTTATCAGTTTTACTTTACTTTTCATGATAATTTTATTGATTATTAAGGTTGTATAAACGTGGTTGTTTACCAAGCCTTATTGAAGGTTTCAGGGCTTTACCAATTAAAAAATAGACTACGACGTTATTATATTTCAATGAGAAAAAGAAATTGCGCAGTTGATAAATATAAATGACATTTGTTAAAATAGTTATATTAGATATATATTACTTATTGATGAAACTTATATTTAGTAATTAAACAAAAAATTAATGTATATATATTATTATATAGCAATATTATAATATATGTTCCCAGTTCCAGTCTTTGGAAAACTTTAAAATCATTGTCTGTTATATGTCATTTATATTTGTAATCTGTAGTACAAAAATCACAGATAAATAGTCTATACGTAATTATGTATATATCTACAAGGGCGGATCCAGGGGCAAGGTGTCGCCATATTTTTTTTTTTATTGTTACAATATAGCTTTTCTTACTCTGACTCTCTAACTTCCAATAGCGATACTGACTGCAATCCCGATCCCAATAATGGGTTTATGCACAATCCCAAGCCGTATACCTTAATCGTATCCTTAGCGTTACGGATATTGAGAGAACTTCATCTAACTTTATACTAAAATCGGGATCAGTATCAACAAAGTACGGGCACTTATGGCCACATATTCTTCTGTACAATTCTAGTGTACAGTGAATTAGGAACTTATCAGGTGATATAAAGATTGGATGATGAGGCCCTTCTTTTGGTGTAACAGAATTTTTTGTACTTATTGTTGAAAAGATCCATAGAGAAAAATTCAATTTTTGTTGGTCTTGGCAATCACGATATTCACTTCTACAGTCTACTTGTTCTGTGATCACTAATTGACTATAATATATTATGTTGTAATTTGTATTGCTTTTGCCATATTTTATTTGTATCACTATTGGACAATACTTGAAACAAAGTAATTTTAGACTATTCATTCAAAATTTTGTTTACTGCGTTGCTAATTATTGATTCATTGCTGTCCCAATTTTCAATATGGTTTACGTAAATTCAGGTAAATATACAATATGTTTTATTTGAGTTTTAATATGAGATTTATGCAATAGATTGATCATTGAGGCCACGTCATTCTTTTAATTATATATTTGAAAATAATAAAGGCATTCGTAATGTTATCCTCCCACGTATTTTTAAAGATAATGTCCACCATGTTAAAGTAGTTTTTTATCAACGTTACTTTCCGAATCATAAATATATAATGTTGTTGTGATTTTTATTTGACTTTGTAAAATTCTGTTTCCTGTTTTTGTGCAATTTAAAATGCTGTTTTATGCTTAGGAATCACATCAAAAGCTTTTTTTTGATAACTCGCAATAACCAATTCTGGTTAAATTGTGAGTGTGAGATCAATTTACTTAGGTCACTGTAATAATTGAATTATTGATTGTTGACTTGATTTTAATATTTCTTACAAGTTTTACATATTTGTTTTCAGATGGTAGTATTGTAGACAAGGCTCCTTTTACTTCATTCAAATGGTTCTGGGGCTTACTTAACTTCTTCTATTACCTGTAAGTAATTGTTTAAAATGAATTATGATTATGGTAACTAAAAATCTATACATTATCATTCTACATCACACAATATATTCCATTACCAAAAGATATAAAATAAAATAAATAAGAGATGGATGTAAAAATGAAGTGACATCCAATGGCATTTACAATGTCAAGGTTAAGAGTTCTAAACCTTAAGAGCGTCATCTTTGGTCTCGTATTTGTAATTATTACAAACAAATAATTCTCAATTTGTTTAATAATTTTAGATAGGATGAATATAAATCTAAATTTTAATAATATTGGCAAGCACTATGTCAAAATATTGCAAAGGTTATCAAGTGAGCCTCCTGTTTGTAGAATTAAATTATAGCGTATGTTTAAACTCTATTTTTTTGTTATAGGTTCCAGACATTAGTCAATCCCAACTTTAATAAACATGGAAATAAATATGTTACTGATTTTCGTCCACCTGGCAGTGGGTATGTAATTTATTTGATTGGTTTTTATAAAACACAAAATTTTGAACATTTACTGTAATTACTAAAGTCCTACTTTATATTATCAAAGCGAAAGTTTGTAAGTATGGATGGATGTTGGTTACTCATTCACGTAAAACCTACTGCATGGATTTTAATGAAACTTTACAATAATATAGCTTATACATCACAACACATAGGCTACAATTTATAAAGATATTGTGTGAATCTTCCAAAATATCAAGTAAGTAGGAAAAAATCTACGACCTGCGAGATATTCTGGTGTGCGCTGCCACTAGAGTTACACATTATGTAATGTATGATGGAAAAGTTTATCTTAAATAGTCCCTCAAAAAAGCCCAGCACAGTATATATCTATATCTTATTTGAAAGCCATTATAGCCATAATAGTGAACCATAACTACAATAAAAATTAATAATTGTTTTAAAATGCATATTTGGTAGTAATAAATTGGTTACTAAATGAAAATAGATACTTTTATCGCTTCCGGTACTTAAAGATAAAATCTGTCTTTCACGCTACATCAATTGGACAAATTATTATTATAATCCGGAGCAGACGAAGTCGCGGGCCTCAGCTAGTAAAACGTTATATACCTGATGACATTCCTAAACTACGAAAAAGTTTGGTGACACTGCTGATCTTAGATCCATTGGTCCTGATGTTTTCTTTCATCAGTGCTCAGCCAGAGTTTGAACACATGAGAGTACTTAGGTTGAGGCACACATTAAAATGCTAAGTTATCACTGTTGTCTCGATATTCCATTATTTATCTGATACCTTTTTCAGGCCACCGAAGCCACCAACTAGAAAGTATGGAGGTTTTGGTCCGTCATCATCAGGGCCTTCGCCGCCGCCAACTGGAGGATGTGGCTGTGGTTAACGTCATATGTTTCTAATTCAATTAATGTTAAATTTTACGTGATAATGATAATGACCGTAAATTTAGGCCCAGGCAAACCAAGATTCTTAGTGGTAACTTGGAGTAATAAGATACATATTATATTCTGAGAAGCGGGAGTCAGTTCTTCCTATGTCTCGACTCTGAGCATCCAGATATAAATTTCCGTGGAAATTTGCTAAATTTAAATTAGAAAATTACCGTATAAAGCCTCTGTAAGCGTTGATATAGCGCTGTTCGTTCTTAATTAATTTACTTTCTAACATCATAGAGCCTAATGTAAAATAAATACATTTTATTCCCAAACAGTTTATTTACATAAATCTTAACTAATATTTTTAAATCTAGAACTATTTTGATTTTTACGAGTCAAAACATGCTTAACTAATTGGGGCTTATTGTTTATGTTAACTTGCTTATTAGTTTGGTTATATGTAATAATTAAAATGGTATAGATCTGTATGTTATTTGTAATATAGTTTAATTTAAAAAAAATTGTAGTTTTAATTCCTTGATATTTTTAATATTAGCTCTACTTTGATTTTTATAAGGATCAATATAAAATAAAAATAAATTTAAAACTATATTTTGATCATATGAAGAATTTATACTAATTGTCTTTTCTTTAGTATACACAGTTAACAGTTTGAAATGCTGATTGATGAAAAACTAGTTAATAATTCCTAAACATTCAGCTTGTTTCATTTTTAAGTTATTATGTATTTGTTTTGGACGTAAATAATTTATATAAGTGATAAAGTTCAGTCCCTTAATTATAATGTCCAGATATAACAATATAATCCGGAGAAAGGAGTAAATTATATGTATTTAAAGGATAGGATATAATGCTATCGTCGCCTCGCAATGCTCGAAGGCAAGGAACTATGGACCTATTAAATCAATGGCTGCGCGTAGACAACGATAATCATCAGCGTTAATTAGCTTATTTGTATATAATAGCGATAATATCGATATTAATCAGCTCATAGATCACATTTAAACGACTGCAAACTTCTTGCTCCAAAATGATTATACCGCTGAAATCGTAGTACTTGGCAATTTGAATGCTTATCACACCGAATGGACATTTTCGCATACCAACTTTTATGCGAGAAGAACATTTCACGATTTGCCTTGGCCTATGACCAGAGAGAAATGGTGCCTTCGATTACGAGTATCCCATTTGCCGATGGTCTTAAAAATTCACTGTTAGACCTACTGCTGACTAGTCTTTCAAAAGGCTACCAGATAACAGGTACATTTTGATGACGCTGAACTATCAAAAACTCACACGAAATATGAATGTGGTTAGTAAATTGCCAAAACATAATACAAAAAGAAAATATGATAATACCATACAAAGAGAAATTAATAACGGAAAGGACTAGGTTGAAAAACAGAACAAGATCAGAAAAGAATAAACTTAAAAGTGTTAAAACTAAGTAATTAGAAAATAAATTAAACGAAACTGAAAAGCCTACCGGTACAAGGTTATTGAAAAGGAATTGGAAAAGCATGGTTAGCAAAGCCACCATTAACCTGGATAAAACTGGTGAACCATTTAAAATAATGAAAGGGGTTATGCAAGGTGACCCTATCTCCTCGAACCTATTTATTTCATTGTTGGAATCTGTTTTCAGGAAACTAAACTGGGAAAATATAGGATTAAATATAAACGGCGAATATCTTGAAACTTTGCCTGCCAAAATTAGACATTTAACAGAGATATAATTATCAAAATAATTTTTTTCCAAAAAGCTACACACAGAAGTATGCAGTATCGAGCGTTATTAGAAAATTAATTTATGTGGTCAATGCTGTTGAATTAGCATGTAGCCTTAAATGGAGGTGGGCCGCATATGTCGCAAGAGCTAAGGGCGATCGTTGCAGGGACAGGACGAGAGCACGAGGACGCCTGCAGCAGCCTGGCTGGTGGTACATGGACCCGGCAAGGCCAAATAAGGGAACTTTTGTAGGAGTTGGAGGAAGCCTGTGCCCTATCATGGGGTCCCTATAATTAAAAACTAAAGTTAAAAAAAAAAAGTTAAGAAATTGTATTAAAATTATTTAATTGTCACATTTTACGAAATAAAATTTCTTATTATTATCTTAATAGGTACTTTAAGCCTCAAATAGCTATGTATGTGACACAAGACGTGTATAAGCTTTAGTAATTGAAAGATATTAAAACAATAATTTGATTTCTTACTATAATATTCACTGTTCCTATACAATTTTCCTACTGCATATTTTGTTTAAATATGTTAAGTGAAGCATGGTGTAAACAATTACAGTTTGAAACAATTTAGTTGTTATTAAAAACGGCGGAGAGTTTCTTGCCAGTTTTAATGCTCGTTCGTTCTCTGCCCTTGATTTGGACACTAGTAGTAAACGTAGAACTTCTAATTTGTTCAAATATTCTTAAGTGAACAAATTTACGAATTTGAAATAAATTTAGATTGAAAAAAAAATGATTAATTGTTTACAGAAACTCGTTAAGGGAATTGCGGTATATTTTTTTTTTTATATTGGGATCTAAAGTCAATTTGCAATTTTTTAAATCATTGTCTGAACGAAACATATCTTTAATAACAGCGCCACATGTCGAGTTACCTCGGTACTTAGGTTAAATTAAAAACGTTGATTCGTAGTTTTGATATAACCGCCCTCTATAATTTAAGTAGAAAACTATAATGATGTATTATGAATCACTTATTAGCAGCTTGTAATATTTTACGTATAGACTAGATGGCGTTGTATGGTTTTTGAAGTTTGTGTTTTTATTAAAACGGCACTAGATGGACTAAACAGCATTTGGAAAGTTTTTGAAGGCCTCCGTCAAAGTGATGATAAAGACCATTATATTATTATTTAAATTGAAAATAAATAAATAGAAAAACTATAATAAATAAAAAAGTTGGTTCCAGTGGCACCTTGTGTACTGCTGGCAGCAGTTCCTCGTTACTTGCGATACTTATTTGTAAATACACTTAAACGCAATTGCTTGTCTTTAATGTACTAATTTGCAGTTTGCAGTCTGCGATGACTACCCTTTTTGGGCATTCCGTAGGCTCCTTTGCCCCTCCATACTTTTAAAGAAATGTGGCTGCGTATTTAAAACTACAATGCTCCTACAAACCCCCTAGCTCTTCAACTTTAAAATATTAGTATAGATATTATTAAGGAATTTTCTAATTTAATTGCCGTGACATCAGACGCCGTCTTCGCCAAACCAACTAACTTCACCAACTTTAATTGCCAAATTTGTTTAAATAACGTAAGACTACAAGAGTAATAGATTAGGAAAAATTATAAACAACATTTTTGTTTCGTTTATTTTAATCAATACCCATTTCTCTTAAGCATGTTAATGAGGTGACTCTAATTAGGAATTACAAACATAAGCAAGAACACATGAGCAAGACACATATTTGTTACACACATTAAAGTATTAACTAAATACTTTGATTAAATAAATAAATTTATCTATACGATTATATAAAAAGATTGTATTACATCGTATCTCGGCTACCAAATTCTCATATCTGGAATGCTTTGGGAACTCATTATAATTCAGTAAAGGAATAGGTGAGTGGACATTGTATGTAGAACATGTGAAACCCTACTATTCCCGATGCTTACTAGCATCATACATAGAATATCACACTGTAAATAATTTTACTATTGCGGCCTTAGCAATGAAAATGGAATAAGTATCGTAATAGAAAAGGAGGGTTTTATTTTTGTGTATGGAAACTTACCGTTCTTCCTCGAGCGCGCCTAAACGTAGGTACAACTTTCGTAGAGAATAAGAAGGACTAAAGGAGTTTACGACTGGCGTAGCCCACACAGCATTGATTATTGTGTTTTATTTATTCAAATAATGTACATATATTATACTTTTGTTTTGGGTAAATAGTACTTGGATAAAGAAACACAAGCTGTATTCTAAGAAACAATAATTTACAATCAATTTCAATATTTTCCATGCGTATTTTATATATTATATAATATTAAAGCACTCTGCTAGCGATTCTACTATTGAATTAACTAGTATTTTTATTTTCCTAAATTGGTGAATATAATTGGTAAAATGGCAACAGGCTCGGATGCGTTTGGTTTATTGATGTAAATATTCCAAGTCTTTTCTCCCAAATCAAATATACCTGAAAAATAAATAAATATAAGATAATAAAATACAAATTTTAATAGTAATTTGTACTTATATTATAAAGGTGATGGGTTTTGTTTGGTCTATTACCTACGAAAATCTCAATACTTTTTTGAAGGAAACAAAAAGGTACAAAAATTTACAAAACGAGACAAACAATAAAAATTATTCAATACATTTAACTAAGTACCTAATTTAGCTGTCTTATGTGATGGTGTAAAAGTGAGGGTAAGTACGTGAAGGTGTGTATGTGGGGTAAGCTCATGATGCAGGTGATTTTGCGCTATGGATTTTCTTAATACTCCTTTTAAAATTCTGCGATAGCTTAAACAAATCAAGGCTTAAATATTGGTCGTTGTATGTCCGGACTGCGCGATACCAAACTGTGTTTTTTGCATAGTTAGTGTTTTTTGCATATCTAAAGAAACAACCCGTATTACCTATTATTTTGTTTTATTAAATCTATGAACTAAAGTTAAGCCAAAACATGTTATATATATATGCCTTTTACAATACCTGTTAGGAATACGAAGATCAAACAACTGAAAATCCTCATAAACATCTGTGGTTTTTTTACTTATAAAGGTAATAAAATCCTAAAAATTGGCTCACCAGCTGCGATAGTCTTTATAACGGATTCCTCCTGTTCCGCAAACACTTGGAAGTCCTGTCTCGAAGTGTCTGACAAAATGTTCTGGAGGTCTTCCCGTGTTTTGGGCTTCGGATGTTTGTAGATTGCATCCAACCGAGCATTGCTACTGTCTATGATGGGGCCATCCACTTCCTTCAACTGTATGCGGAGGTACCTGTGGGTAAGTTTAAAATTAATTTACGAAAACTTGCAAACAATATAATATTGGTCTATTCGTTTGTTCTATATGATCAATAGATAGCTCATAAAGATGTTAGGTTAGCTGTTTCTATGACAGACCGCCGCTTTAAGGTCGATTCACACATATCAGTGAACCCACAGTTCCGGCACAGTACCGTTACAGTTCCGTATCCGTGCTACAGTGGTGCGTCAGTCATTCAATTCACACATGTCAGTACTCAGTTTACGGAGCTTCAGTGAAAACGTGTCCGTCGCGTTGTCAAGTAACGTGATTATGGCTCTGTTCAATACTACGGAGCTAGCAATGATAGCTGTTGCTTTAGACGAAGAAGAAGAGCAGCATCAAGGAAAAAAAAAGAAAATGGGTGCATGAAGCATGGCAATTAAGAGAGACGGAAGGAGAATTCATCATATTATACAAAGAATTAGTTAAAGAAAATATTTTAAAATGTCACAGAGCTGCTTCAATATTTTTCTGCAATAAATAAAATGTAACAAATAATAACGCGGCGTCAGTGATCCGACAAAAAATATCGTTGTCAACGAATCCGTCCGTGATTGCCGGTGTCGGCACTGACACTGAGAGCACTGTGTCGTCACTGACACTGACAAGTGGGGATGCGTTCATAGAGAATGTATGAAAGAATATTTCGCACTGTGCCGGTACTGTGTCGGAACTGTGGGTTCACTGATATGTGTGAATCGACCTTTAAGTTTAACCTTTCACTTGACCGTATACAACGAAGAGCGGTTAGAACACACCCCACATCTCTACGCAACAGATGTGGGGTCAATCTGCGTCTTCTACCGCATTTACCACGGAGAGTGTTCAGAGGAGTTGTTCGGATTAAATACTGCAGATGAGTTTCGTTAGCGGGCGTCGAGGCAGAACGCGAAATTCTACCTGTATATTGTGTATAACCTCGATGTCTGCCGTTCCACGTTTGAGCGTTTTTTTAAAGCAGTCTGCCGCGCACCATTCACTATGTGGAACCAGCTGCCCACTAAATTGATTTCCGAACCAATTCGATTTAGGTTCCTTCAAGAAAAGAGCGTACCAATTCTAAAAAAGGCTGGCAATACACTTCTGGTATAAACAGTGTCCAAAGAGTGGCGGTTTTACTTAACATCAGGTACTCCTCCTCTACCGAAAAAACTTCCTACTGCATTAGCAACAACAAATTGTATGTTTATGTTTGCAATTTCGATGTGGTTCTCTCAATAACCGTTGAGAGAACCACATCGGTGCAACATCGTTTTGTTGATTTGTCGCTATTAGGGTCTACTGAGTATTTGTGCTGGTGGATTATCGTCTTTCCTTACGTTTTACACTACCGTTTTTACACTACTTACTTGTTTGTATGTATTGTGACATCATTTTCGAACTTTTTAACATTCAACAGTGACTTATCCCCAGTTAGGTCCGGGGCCATCTCGACGTTGTAGAGGCTTCGTGTACCGTCTCCCTCAGTCCATATCATGTTCACGGAGCATCCATTGGCTGCTCCCAGACCCTGGTCGAGCAGAATTCTTTCCGCATCTTCTAAATTCTTTGCGGTCAAAAGAGCTCGGGTGATAAATGTTCGCGCTAGAAGAAATATATTTAGTAATACAGTCACTATAAGTTTCTGATTAGCACAGGTCAAAGTTGATAACAATTGTTGAATACTTTACTTAGCCTACCTTTTTAGTACATACCAACATGGAAAATTGTGCTATGCTACCCCATAGACTATTCGGTTTTCCGAAATGATTTTTTTTAGGTTGTTCAGTGAAGTTTTCTCTATATTGACCTCACAGTTCAAGTCGTTTTTAATATACAAATAATATATAGGGGCTGATCGTAAGGAGGTGAAAATTAAGGGTTGTATGTATTTTTGTATGCTCTATCATAAAAAATAAAAACAGAATTTTTTGAATAAAAAGTAAAAAATTTTTTTTTGGAATGGACACCCCTTATCACTTAAGGGTTTGAAAGATAGATCGTAGCCGATTCTCAGACTTACTAAATATGTATAAACCATTTCATAACAATCGGTCGAACCGTTTCTGAGGAGTATGGGAACGAACATTGTGACACGAGAATTTTATATTTGTTATTTTATAGGTATATACTTACGAGTGTTCCCTGGCTTCAGTAGCATAGGGCTAAGTGTGTTTATGGAGAAAACTAGTCCATTTCCGTTGTATCCCATCGTGTATCCGGGCATGTGTCCCGCGTAGCATAACGACGCGAATCTTTCCTCAACGGCCTAAATAAGAAATATCTCACTTTTACACAAACAGCGACTTCTTTTACTTTGAGAGTCGCAAACCAAAGACCATTTTAATAACCTAAACCCAAATCTAATAGATCGATTTAAAAAATTTACCATTCAAACCCATCATATTATTCACGATGAAACCAAATATCAATCTCCGCTTCATACTTCGTAAAGGTTATTACTAAGTATTATAGCCTTACCCCAAGATCTTTGTCCTCTTGAGTTGGTATTATATGAGCTGACATGATATAAAAGTGATTTAGTGTCTCACTGAATGCGTCCTCAGTATGAGCCAAGATTGCCTGAAAAATATTAAATAAATGTCTCAAATTTCACGTCTTCATGTATACACTCAACAGATTTAAATGAATATTAGTCCCTTATATGCTTATAAAACGAAATAAATATCTTTTTTATCTCTTGATTCTTGCCATTGCCATATTTCTTTATTCGCAATCGCATAAGATCACAACTAAAGAACAGTAGTGGACCTGACACACACACAAACTCTCTCGAGTCGCTAGCTAATTGATACTAATTTCGTTTGCCATTCCTGTTTTACCCAAAACAAAGTTCATTCAAACAAGTGGTTCCTTTAAGAAATTGCTTCGTTAATATCATTTGATTTTATTTGCATATTTTAGGCGATATAGTTTTAACGCAACATTGTCAAGCATTCGTGATGAGCAAGTAACGAGAGTTAATCCACGGGGAAAATCTTGTTAAATGCGTGCTTACATCGCTCGGCGTGTTTATTCCAATTGAGCTGCATCCACCAGTATCGTTCCTCGGAATGTGGTTATCGTTGATGGTGCCAATAATGTCATCCATTTGCAACAGGAACAACTGCAATTAATAACAGAAGATCAGATATGGATTAAACTTTAGAGATCACAATTGTAATGAGTATTCAGAACGTAATATGATGGGAATTAAACGTCATTACTAACATAGCTAGTCCTGTAGGGCACATTGGATATTGTATGAGTATAGAATAACGAACCTTTTGCATTGTCTATCAACATTACTATTTGTCATTATAACTTTTGAATTACTTAAATTTTTCTATGTTTTACAACTTCTGTATATCTCCCAGTAAAAACAGAATATTTTTCACGTTATAAATGATTTAAAAGTAACTACGCCGACTTTGTCGAGTTGTCTTAATGATTGGAATGAGAGTGTCAATTCCTTGCAATTTTTGAATCTAACATTAGAAATCGTTATCGGTATTTCCACCTATCCAGACTTTGATTCAGAGGCCTTCAAAAGCGTACCACATCGTTAAAGGCAGCGCCCTTGCGTGGGCGGCGGTTATCGATGCGGAGCCTGTGCGTTCACATGTCCCTTAAGCAAAAACTATGTGGGCTTCAATCATATTTATCACAAGGTTATAGAAAGGATTTTTTAAATTGGTAAAGTATATGTATCGTATACAAATTAATCTTATTACTATTTAATTGTCTATATTCTATAAAATTGCGATCAAGATTTATAAAATACTTAGTCTATATAGCTTTGATGGAAAAGAATGTCGAATGTAGACACTCGTGTCTATATATCTTTACTTACATATCTTATGTTTAATACATTAATTAAATCAATTTCATCATAGCTAAAAACTCGTCCAAAACGTTATTTTTAAGGTATATACCATACATAAAAAATAACGTTTAGTTTAGTTATAGTAGTTAGGTATAGTTTTGGAAACACTTGTTAGTAAAATAGTTAAAACAGCGATACTATAAAATTAAATATTTCAAGTCACCCACGAAAATGTTCGAGCTTCATAGAAAAGTAAAGTAATAAAGAGAAGTAGCTACCGCGCCACAGACAGACACATCAAACTTAAGTACCTTTTTTTGCGTTAAAACACATAAAAGTTGTTTATTTTCAACACTTTCTGTTCTAAAACTATAATCCTTTTAAACCATTGCCTATCAATACCACGTAATTTCGAGAAGAAAGAATGACATCATAGCATTATTAGATCAAAGACCCGACTATAAATTGTGTTGAAACTTTGAAACACGAGTTTCTAATTGACTCCTTTTATATAACTTAATTACTGAAATTGCTAAACATTGTCTCTATAGAGACGGCCAAAAATCTATGACAATTTTATTATTAATTTGCTAAATTTGCACTTCACTTTGCTAATTGTTTTTTTTGATAATTTACGGAATCTGTTTTAAAGGTATATAAATGGATATATGAACTATTTCTTGACTGCTATTATATAATTGTAACGTATCTGGAAATAAAGTTGGGTTTAGTTAAAAATAACTTATGTAACCAAACCTTGATATTATCGCGATTTATGCACTTTCATTTGGTAAACGCCTTTGCACTTTTGCTGTATCTTTTATTTTTATAAGTTGCCTGCAAGAGCTTGTAAGAGCCACCTAATTATTCCTGTTATTTCAACGCAACGAAGTACTAAATTTGTTTGATATGAAAATGAGTATTATCATCTTAACCATGCCAATTCTAAATAATACAAGCAAATCTTAACCCCGTAGTTTTTGCAGTTATAATTGCAAATTAGTAGGAAGCAGTAGCTTGAATTCCTAGTGAAACAAGGATCGTTTCGAAATAGTATTTGTATTTTTTTGTCTCAGCCTCAGCTGCTGGGAATATATCCCACTGAAAGAACACTGTGACATGGATGACGTAAGTTGGAGACAAAAGACCAGATTGCGCGTATCAGTTTCCTGAAGCAACCCCGAAAAAACTGATTTGGTAGGCAAGCAGTATTTTCTAGTCGACTGATATTATTGAAGTAAAACTGAGCGCATGAGGATACATTTTTTACGGAACGTCACAAAGATGTGCAGCGGAGAGAGCGATTGAGACCGATTGTGATAGTTAGAAGGGGGTGAACTTATAGAAATTCTATTTTTAAAATTAAAGTTTTATAAATAGAATTAATGAAATATTAGTGTTTTATATTTTTGCTAAATAATTTATTGAAATCTCAAATGACGACTTGTAAATTAAAATACCACGTGTTTTTATTATCGAAAAAAATAAATTAAAACAATTAAATTTATTATTTGTATTAATTTTCGACACTCAATATTTTAATATCAATTAAATTAATTAAATTCCTGACATATCTTTCTTTTTTCCCTCCCTCTAAGTCTCGGAAATCTAAAGTTATAGATTTGTATAAATATGAACAAGAGTTAAAAATAAGTTTGCCAAAGAAGTATAACTTCTTTGATATGTGTCGCACGCACTTTTTTTTTAGTATTAAAAAAAACAATCAAACAACCGAAAAATACTTCATTATTACAAATGCTTCAGTACGCTTACGTGACACATCAGGTTTCATATTATTTAAAAATATCACACAACGCTCATACAACGGAGGATCGTTAAAATTTTAATGAATGAGTTCTTGGCCTTTTCGCTTTTAAAATCACATATTTATTATCGAAAATTGTTCTTTGTATATGATACCGGTTTTGACTTAAAAACCTGCATATGATGCTAAATTGACGAAAATGATTAAACGTTTACGATTATTCTTTAGTTTGTATATAAAATATATATTGTTCTAATGTAAGAAAAAAAGGCTTATATAATTTAGCACAACATTTTCTTGGATGTCAATTCGTAAATTTTTAGATTTTTGAAGTTGGGAAAGTCTATTAAAAAGAGGAAGAAGAGAAGCACGGAAAAATACTTTTTCAATTTTAACATGTAATTTTACGTACATGTATAGATATTTATTTTTGCAAGCACGTAAGATAAACGAACACGGGCACACAATAGCGTGAAAGCGACAAGTTTGTTTAAAACTTTATTTTAATTAAACTGCATTGACATGATGAAAACAGAGTTGATAGGTGGTTTAAATAGATAAAACCTTACGATATATATTATAATTGTATTCGTAAAAAGGAAATAGTAGGTATTTAATAATGTTATTACTCATATTTGTGTTGTCTATGCTGTCTTAAAACTAACAATCGAATTTCAACTTTTTTTAATTATTATTTTCACCGATCAATCTCCTTCGTGCCTTCTCCATCTACACGACACTGGCGAAGTACCTTGTGCCCAGTTGGCACAAATAAAGGTCATTTATAAAAAAAAAAAATTATAATTGTATTTAAACATTATTGACTCAGACAAACCTGATAGAACGGAACATCAGCTCCATCAGCAACGCCTTGCATCTCTTTCAAGTACCATGGGTAACGCTGTTTCATATTGGCTAAGGTTTTCTCGTACGCCTGCTTCCCAGTATCAGTTTTATATTCCTTCTCGAAGTCCCGCAGATTAGCGTAGGTTGCGATAAAATCTTTGATGACTGATGAAAACGTGCGACCCTGGAAATTTCGTTAAGTCTTGTAAGACATTTTCTGGAACTGCATATTTTTATTAAACATTAATTAATAATAGAAAAACAATTACTAACCTTAAAATATAATAACTAAAATAACCTTTGAATAGCTAGACTAAATCTTTGTTCGAGGTGCCAGCTCTTCGGACAAAGATTAAATTTATATTTATATCAAAGCATATTTATTTTAAGTATTATCAAAGATAATTAATATCAATCTTTATATGAGTGCAATATTTGGTATTATCGAGCTCAGGACTCACGGTTAAACATTAAATGAAAGCGCTTAACCTCAACCTGTTAACAGCAGCTCCTACAAATTAAAGCTACAAAATTTTCTTAGCATTTTGATTGGTTATGGTTATCTAGAAGTTTTAGATGAAAATATAACTTGGAGCAAAGGGGGGCCTATTAAGCCTTTGGTAGAGAATAATAAGTCAATACCAATTCAATATATTTTATATCTTATTCTATACAAATAAAAACACCGGCAACGCACTCTAGATCCCTCTGGCATTGAGAGTGTCCATGGGCGGCGGTATCACTTAACATCAGGTGAACCTCCTGCCCGTTTGCCCCCGTTCTATATAAAAATAAAAACACTACAACGGTGCAAAAAAAAGAAAAATATGTATAAAAAGAAAATCTAATACTAATAAGCACACAGTTTGTGTTGATAGTTTTCCAGCGCACGCCACGTAATGGGTCTAGGAGTTTAAATATTGTCGTCACAACCTGATTTAAAAACATAATAAATTTTAACTCATCCCAAGGTAAAACTAAGACCTAAATTCATTGAACAACATTGAATATAACTCGATATTCCATTGAAATTTCCTTCATCTACAAACAATGGGATTGAGGAAAAAAGTTTTATTTCTAATCAAGGAAAGCATTAGCAGTCTTCGCTCCGATAAGGTACGTTGGTATTGATTAACGCAGATTTAGTATCTATCCAAGACAAGGAAAACGTATTGTCTTCGCAATTTTGCCACTAATTCGGCGTTTATTCAAGGTTTTCCGTCATTATGTGGGGACGAATACAAGTTATTTACGTTCACAATACCACTGCCACCATTTTTCTGACAAGGTCGTCTATGGGAACGTGATTACAGAAAATAGAGGAAAATTTACGGCTATTACAGGTAATAAGAATATTGACATATCCTACTAATATTATAAACGCGAAAGATTGTACGTATGGATAGATGTTTGTTACTCTTTCACGTAAAAACGACAGAATGGATTTTAATGAAACTTTACAATAATATAGCTTATACATCAGTATAACACATAGGCTACAATTTATAAAGATATTGTGTGAATTTTTCAAATTTTTCAAAATAAGTAAGTAGGAAAAAATCTACCATCTGCTAGCTATTCTGGCGTTCGCTGTCAAAACCGCTAGAGTTACACATATGTAATGTATGATGGAAATGTTTATCTTAAATAGTCAATATCTTTAGTAGTTTTTTTCTACGCCACGCTAATGTAAGCTACTCGAAATACTAATACTGCGCAGACGAAGTCGCGGGCAACAACTAGTTTTCTTAATAATAACAGATAGCGTTAGAAGCACAACGTGTCTGAAAACATTTTTTTTTGTAAATCTGTAGAATAGATAGCAAAGACCATTTGTTTTAAAAAAAATATCTATATCAAGAAAACCTTTATGCATATCTGTCTCTATATACCTAAAATGTATCTATTAACGCTATCTAGTAGTTTCAGCACATGCTAATTGGGCACATAGAAGGAAAAAGTTGGCGATTAAAAAGAGTGGCGGAAAGTTTCTTGGCAGTTCTTCTTACCCGCTGTACGCCCTTGACTTGCGAACTGGTAGTAAATGTAAATTTACAATTAATTTAACTTCTTTCTGACAATTCATAAGTGTACTTGTTTAATGAATAAAGATATTTTGAGTTTGAGTTTGAAATATTGGGAGTACATAGCCGGGGCTAGAAAGACTTGCCTCGGGAATTATAATTATGATTAAACTTACCACATCGTGACCGACTTCATAATGAGAACCTCTTAGATATATGACGGGTACAGCCCGACGTCTTGATGTATGCTCACACGTGCCTGTAAAAATTCATATTGTGAACAATAAAAGAAATAGATCGAATATAAAATAGGCTAATTTTAAAATATCCTTCGATCGGTCAATTTAACAAACTTCTTTTGCGAAAGTCTTTGATGCCAATGATATTTCCTGATTAGTAAATCACGAATACACATATCGTTTATTAAAACCAATATTTATTATACACAACAAACATATAAACAGTATTTACTATTTTCTTAACCTAGTAATAATTAAAATTAATAAATAGAAAGATAAAACAACTTTTAAAAGTTTGGTCCCTGTGGCAGTGTACTTTTAACACTGGCAGCATTTCCTCCCTGTATTCCGAAAGTTATTCGTTGTGCGAGGAAAGTACGAGCTTCGGGGTCACCGATACTACCTACTAGGCGCTAACTTAAATGTTTAATTAGCGCCTGTACACTTGAATCCCACGGCCCAAGAGTCTACTCCAAAGGGAACAGAATCGAATTTGGAGGAAAGACTCTTGTGCTCTCATCATAAACTATGTGGAATATGAATTTAAAACGTGTATATAATTGCTTGCCTATATATTTGTCGCAGCCAACTAGCTTAATAAGCCGTTCAATGAACAGCCTAGCCTATTAACTAAATAGAGCCGTTTAACTAGCGGCCTCAAAGATATTCAGCCGTAGCGTTTGTAACCACATTTAATAAACTGGCTAATGATTAGGCCATTCATACGATAATGATCAAGTGGCAGAAATAAAAAAAATTAAACATCTGAGATAAAAAATTTAATTTAAAAATTATATTGAGTCAGTAACAGCTAAATTCACATTATTATTGTTACTACACTTTTACAATGTACTTGTTGTTCATTAAACTTCGGATAACACCATCAAAATTGTGGTATGCCAACGCCATATTGACAGTTTAAAGAGTTTCGTTTCGAGTTTGAGAGTGGCAGAAAGTGGAACTAAATTTAAATTAACAGTCAACAGGCCAAGCTAGTTATGAAACGTCATCGATCTTAGTAATTTGCCTATCCGTTTAATCAACTGGCTCAATATCTTTCAGGCCGCTAGTTAAATGGCGTTCTTTTGTTAAGAGGTTAGGCTGTTAATTGAACGTCTTATTGAGCTAGTTGGCTGTTACATATTCGTATTCAGGTTCTCTACATCTTTTATCTTCGTCTGGGTATAATGTAAATTTCTGTATCTCTTTCATTTATCTATTTTTATTTTAATAAGTTAATAGAGATTTTATATTATATTTGAAGGAATTGATAGACTATATACGTAAATAACACTGCAACTTTGGATTATTTATTAAGTAGTTATAAACTATTTTTACATGTCCTTTAAGTTATCTTTAATATACGGAAATGGCTAAAAACAATGTGCGGATAATTGCGGTGATTTTTAAGCTTTAACTGTCGAGTAATAAAAGCGAGGCAAAACTTTATTTTACCGTATAAGTTTTTTAGTAATAATAAATGTTTTATGACGCTTAAAAGGTTAATCGGTTATATTTAGGTCAATAGACACTAGAAATCGTACTTTAGTACGATTTTTTCTTAAGACCTAAAAATTCTAAGCTGTTTCTTGGGTTTGCAAGCTATATAATATGACTGACAAGAAGTGAACCTTAGAGCTAACAGTGAACATTGAGTATACCCGCCATCTAGCTAAAAAGACCGTGGTGACTATTTGACAAATTACACTAGTCCATTTTCTTTGCCCATTTTGACAATCCCATATGATAAAAATTTTGAGACTCTTTTGCGTCAATTACCTATACATTTATTTATACCTTATTCTGAATAGCCTCAATCTTAACCCGCGACATTTATTATTTCAAAGGGAAATGAACCCAGAGCTTGTTAAAACAATGCACGGAATTAATACTTATGTATTAATTCCGTGCATTGTATTAATTAAAGGTGCTTTTGTCCGAATTCCGTACTGGTGAACTTTCAATTCTACCATTTCATTTCTCTCGCAAAAGTATAATTGTATTATCACTTTCATCATTATTTACGTAGTGCATGGAATAATTCAAGCACTTGAATAATTGAGTCATATTGTATGTGTATTATATTGTTCCTATCATAGAAAATTAAATCTTTAAATAGAACAATGATTATTTATCATATTACACGTATCAAACTTATTACATTTCATTAAGAAATTGTCAGATGTTACACTAGTAATAAATATTTTTTTTATAACTCCGTGGCTCACGTCACACATGTTTAATGCTGTTTTTGGGAAAAAAAAAAAAAACAAACAGGTAAAATTGTGATAATTTGAACGCATTAAACAACGCAACAAATTAAAAATTGTCGTTTTGCTAAGTGAACCGTAATATTGAGTATTATTATTAGGCTTATTATATATTAGAAGTGTGTATGTGTGTATAAACCGTCAGTTGAGCAGGCACATGATGTATGCTCCGGTTGATATTTTTGTAAAAGACAAACACAATGACTTTCTGTTAATGTATATTTCTATTAATTATTGATTTCTACTTTAGGAAACGGTGTTCATGAGAAAAAAAAAATATTTTACAAAAAATTAGATGCATACAAAACAATGTTAAATGTTTAGACCTTGACTTAAGTAATAAATTAAATATTAAAAAAAACTGGTTAGTATATATTCAAACATACGATATAATTGAAACTACAGCGTAATATTTTACAATTATACTATCTCATTATAATGAACAACATTGCATTGCGAGCTACTTCCTATTATTCTTGGTTTTAAAAATCATAATAATGCTTCCTGAGACGTCCGTGAGGGAACCCACCGATAATTTTGATATATTCTAATACCAAAACACATTTAATAAATGACCTTCGCTTTGCATATCAAACTGATTACCATATCGCAAGTCTCATTAATAACAAAATAATAATTATTTCCTTCGGATAGTGGATTCTATATATATATATTCATGAACCTAGGAAAGCATGAATCTCGATGAATAACTCCATTGATAATAAAGTAAGACAATTTAAAAAAAATCTTGAACTTCTGCTGAAGATGCCTGGTTCAAACAATAACGTTCAAGAGATTTCGAATTTAGAAACTTTCTAAAAAAATACTATAATATACTTGCCTAAAATAATACAAAAACACAATCATTTAAATTTATATTATGACATAGTTTTCATATCATTATAAGTCTACTATTACTCTTAGATAATTATTGCATTAGCATTGTTTGAAATTACCATTTCGTCCTCTCATAGCAACGTCAAGGCCAGAAATAAACACTTGTGGTTTTATTATTCACAATCACTATGAAAACATATATTTCTTTTTTAATTGTCAGTTTGTGACAAAAGCGCGAACGTTACTGACTAAACTAAAAATGATCACTGCATAATATACCACGGCCGAAGGTAGAATTTTTACATTCAAAGATACGTTTTTAATATTATATTTACGTTAATTTATATGACACTCTTCAACATTTTAAATAATTATCACTCATTTAAATAAATAATTTAATGTTTCAACGGTCTGATGAATAGATATTTTTTTGTTCGTTTAAGTATATACTAATTACTACGGCAACGATTTTCTGTATCAGTTGACCATTCGCGTCCTTCATAAAGATTACGAGCAAAATCAACACGTATATATTTAAAATCGTTTTTGCTTACATTTTATTAACATATGGCTATTTTTAGTTTTTGCGATCATTTTGAAAGGCTGATCAAATGAAAAGTTAATTAAAAGATGTAAATGTCTAATTAAGTTGTATTATCAATATCATATTTCCTACAATTTCGAATGTCTCCAAGACTTAACCGGATGTACAGCCTTCAAAATTCTACTTTCGTATTGGTTCGTTAGATATTTTCCATGCCTTGTCGCCCTACTATTTTTTTAAAATGTATCTTATCCTTTCAGTAACTCTCTTTCAAGTGCAAGATCCATGCTTTGTCTTTGGGCTGAATATGCCGGCTGTTGAAGTTATGCTTAATGTGTTGTACTGATCTATTGTATTGAATGAATTCTTAGCCCTTCAAAAGAGAAGGTGCATTCTGATTAAAAAATTAAAAATTTCCGGCATCGTTCTTAAACTTCTATTTCCCACATAGTCGAGCGGTCACAATAGCATCCCCCCTATTGTGCTATGTATATGGGCAGCATAGCGGGTAAGGAGATAGAGGGTAAGCGTTGTGACCCGAGCTAACTTAGTAAATAAGAATCAATTTATGTAAATGTTTAGCTTGGAAGGACTTGACAATTTCTTTAATGTTGATTTATGATCTCGAAATGTCCTGCCTTCCACATTTAACTACGTTTTTACGTCATTATTGGACAATTTAATGGACATTAAGAAAACAGAGCTTCAAATTGAATTTAGTACTTAGTATTATCCAAGAGATCAAAATTACTAGGATATGTTACGTAAAAAAAACTTGGTGACATTTAAATGTTTTTGTTAATAACCCTGAGCCAAACTTAATTATGATAATAATAATACCCACATTAAAATGATACCAATTTTCGCATTTATAAACACAAAAGCATTTATAAATTATTATTATTAGTGTTTTTAATTTAAGTAGCTTAAACTTAAGTTGTTCTTATTACTAAACTATTACGCTTAAATTTGCATGTTAATTTTTCTACAAAATATTATTGTTAATCCTAGTAATATTATAATCGCGAGTGTGTCATTTTACGATTTGGCATTCTGATAAGGAGGGAGCTTCTAGTTTATTGTTTATCAGAATGCCAAATAGTAAAATAACTGCTTTACGACTGATTTGAGCGCGACCGCCGCTGTGTGAGTTCGAAAAGTGAGTTACAGGATCGCAAGGCTGGCCTGACAACCAAAAGTAGCTTGGTGAGAGAATTATCAATTTGAATCCAAAGAGCAAACTAGTTTTAATTTCTATCACTAATTTTCTAAAATTTTAAAGCATGTGAATGCATTGTTGGCTTGAGCGTGTGACTTCAACATTGAAGTTGTGTGTTCGATTCAAGGCTGTGCAATTCTTTGTGCGTATTTAACACTGTCTCGTGTGGTAATGGAAAACATCGCGAGGAATCTGAGATCCTTATATCCTTATGACGGCTCGTTGGTCTAGTCTTTAGTACCCCTGACTGCGAATCCATGGGTCCCGGGTTCGATCCCCGGCTGAGACAAACATCGATGTGATGTGCATTTGGTGTTGTGCTTAGGTCTTGGGTGTTTAAATATGTATTTATATGTCTATCTATAATATGTATGTATATCCGTTGCCCAGTACCCATAACACAAGCTTCACCAGCTTAGCATGGGACTAGGTCAATTGGTGTGAATTGTCCAATAAAAAAAAATAAAAAAAAATGTGGACGTTGTGGGCTTGGCAAAAAATAGATCCAGAAATCTGAGACCAAGACCGATGGTTGTGGTACCACTGGTATTCTATGTGTGAATATCGATCGTTATTAACTTTGCGAAATATTTGCGACACGCTCAAAAATACGTTAATTTTTATGGCATTTTCGAGTTCAGTGTATGGGCGTGGTACGACCCAATTAAATTATTTACTGTCGTTGTTCATTATCAATTGAAACAGTAAGTTCGAGCTTTTTGCTATGAAATTAAAAAATCCTTTATGTCACAATAAAAAAATACATTATTGTATGTTGGCATTGTGGTTCAGTCTGATATAAATACTTATATAACAATCAAATATACAGTATTTACAACTTTCTTAACCTACATAGTAATAATAGTAATAAATAGAAAATTAAAACCAATTTAAAAGGTTTGGTCCCTGTCTGTGGCAGTGTACCTTTAATGCTGGCAGAATTTCTTCGCTGTATTGCGATACTTATTCGTTGAGCGATGAAAGCACCACCTCTGGGGTCACCGGTACTATCTACCAGACGCCAAATTTAATCTTTAATTAGCGCCTGTGCACTTGAACCCCACGACTCAAGAGTCTCCTCCAGAGGGAATAAATTCGACGTTGGAGGAAATACTCTTAATTTGAGCCGTAATAATACTTAAATACAATTGTTATTTTCTTTGAAATATCTGGGGTTGATAAAAAGTTCAGTGAACAAAAACTCTCTCGTTTATAGTAAAGCCAGGTTCTTTGGAATACGTGTTCCATGAACATAAGGTCGTATTTTAAATGGAAGCGTTCATTAAACAATGCAATTATTATCACCTATTTATTCAGGGTTCTAGTATTTGGAATACGTTTTTGTTTATTCGAAAACCCTTCAAACTAACACAGATAATCGGGTTGAAATTTCAATGCGTGCGTGCTCCTATTTCACCATGCCTCCTGCTGATAGAGGTCAAGTCTTTGTTTTTAATTTATGTTATTATTATTTATTACTTAAGATGTCATGTGGAACATGGTGTAATGGTTGCAGCTCCCTACAAACGTAGTGTAAAAAAACATGGCGATTAAAAAGAGTGGCGGAGAGCTTATTGCCAGTTCTTCTCTTCCGTTCTACGCCCTTGATTTGAACTGGAACTAAATGTAAAGTTAGAAGCTTTTCATATCCATTTCTTTTTTTGACGTTCATAAGTGTACATTGTGTTACCTATTTGATTTTATGATTTTTTTTTACTTTCCTTTTAATAGATTTCGAATCTTCTAACAAAATATTAGAGTAAAATTCAGACTCTATGCTGGGTGTGACTCCCGTTGTCATAAACGTATTACAAAGTATGAACCAACGCTCGCGTATGTTAATGCGAACTTAACCTTTAATAGCCTCGACTTGGACTTTTAGCCTAAGTTGAAGCAACAAATGTTTTAATTACCATCATGTTCCTAATTTTTTTTGTCTTCTCTCTTTTATTCAATACAAACTCCTTCTATATACTCGTCGCTAAATTCTATCCACCATTAGGCCAAAAGCTCTGCGTGGTCAGGGCCGCGCCGACCCCCGGCAGCGCCTGTGTGCGAAACCCATGAAGCGCCTCCTTTTTCTATAGGGGTCAAACGAGCCTTAGGGACGGACAAAAATGGCAGTCATTGAATCTCATAGACATTTTTAGCGGGTGTGTTGCAGGCCTCCTTCTATATTTCGGCCTATTTTTTAAGAATCTTCAAGTTTCAATGTATTTTTTTAATTTTGACCGAAAGAAAAAAATTCTTTAGTTTAATCCACTTAAATAGGTAAAACGTCCGCTGGCCAATTGCCGTGAAAAATAAAACGTGAATTAAATTGTTACATAGTTTATTTATGATGTTATTTTTATCTAACCGTTTTTAAGGTCAGATTTATGACATATCTTTGTAATAAATCCCATCTTTCATTCATTCTAGTTCTTGCACAATATTAAAAAACCCAGTCGTGTATGAGATGTGCAGCGTCATTTATTATTAAATTTAAACTATGGCTGGCGCACGGACATAAAAAGTGCGGAGATTTAGATCCCGCAATATTCTTACCGCGCATATTTGAGCCATTATCATAGCCTTGCCCCCTTAAGTTCTTTATGTCCAAATTAATTTCGTTTAGTTTTTCTATTATAAATGACGTTACTCCAGCGCCAGTTGTATCTACGATTGGGCAGAAAGTGCTATTATAAATTGGAAAGCTAGGAAATGCTCTCTTATTCTTAATTTTCTAGTTTACATGTTAAAGTTGACAAATCTTATTATCATACTAATTTGCTCTTCTTGTGTCAGTAGTACGATCCAGTATTATTGAAAAATATTAATTAATTCGACATAAATTTAAAATAAAATGTTGAATTTGGTTACCGAGTATAAAAACTAGTTCATTTTGGATTTTATCAAGGTATGTCGGCATATTATTGAAATCATAAGACATAAACACACTCAAAAAACTCACGGCGGTCACCAGCGGCCTTTCTTTTGATTCGCTAAGCTCTGAGTAATTAATGTAAACTAAAACCTAAAGCGTAAAATGAAACTTAAAACGTACGTAAGAATATTGTAGTGTAGTATAAATAATTTCGGTGGCGGCGCCCTTATTGTATTAGCGCCTGTGTGCACCGCACACTTCGCACATATGGGCGGCGCGGCCCTCTGCGTGGTATTAAAAAATACACCTCAAATTGATGGTAATTTTCTTTTAAAATTAGTGCTGTTTGCCATAGTAATTTTGTATGATGATTTGATACTTTAAGTACCGAGAGATTTTTACGCCGGCTTTTTCTCTCGGCATACACCCTCTGTCTTCTTTGCCGATGAGTAGGGATGTCTACCGTAGCAATTTAATGACGTGGAATAAGTGATACCTGTATCTTG